CACCGCGGCGCGAGGGCGCAGGGCGCGGGGCGCGGGGCGCGGGGCCGGCCGCCCCCCGCGCGAGCTCGCCCAGGCGCAGACCCGGCCCCGGCCCGACCCCGGCCCCCGCGCGCCCTCGCCCGGGCCGCGCCCCCGCTGCCTCCCGCGGGCCCCGCAGCCCTGGGCGGGTTCGCGCCGCCGGGGAGTGCGCGGGCGGCGCGCTCGGAGCGCCCCGGGCCTGGCCCCGGGCTGGGGCGGAGGCGCAGGGGTGGGGAGCGCCCGAGCCGCGCGCCCCTGGCGTCCCCGGGCCTGGGGCGGCGTCGGGTCTCCCCGCCCGGGCTTCGGCTCGCAGGGCCGCGCGGGCCCCGGGGCGCGGGGGGGGGGACCCGCCGGCCCCCCAGCCCCTCTCCGCCCCCGGGCGCTGGCGAGGCGGGCCGGGCCTCCCTCCGCGGGGCGGGCCGTCCCCGCCCGGCCGCCGCCCGCCCAGATGCCGGCGGGGCGGCCACCTGTTCGCGGGCAATTACTCTAATGCAGGGGCCGGCGGGGGCTCGAGCCCGCGGCCGCGACAGCCGGGCCGCGCTCGGCCTTTCAGGGGGATTTCCCGACGGGCCGCGGGCGCGGGCGGGGCGCGGGGCCCTCGACGACTTCATTAGCCAAATGAGCCGCGCGGCGCGGCGGGCCCGGCCTCCCCTCGCGGGGCCTGGCGGGCGCAGGGCGGGCACGAGGGACCCCGCGGATGCGTTTCCACCCCAGCGTTCAGCTCCCAGCCCCGGCGCGGCGCGGAGGCCAAAGGCCGGCGGGTGATTAGCCGGGTATCAGCGGGCGCTGCGCCGCCGAGGTGCTGCAGTCACGCCCGGCGCGTGAGGCGGCGGCGCCGGGTCAGGCCCGGCCTCTCTGCGGCTCCGCAGCCAAGTGCCTGGGCCTCTCCGAGCCTTGGGGCTTCGCAAAGCCACCCCAGAAGGCCCCGGGGTGCAGGGGGAGCCGCGGGGAGTCAACCACATGTACACAGTCCCTGGGCCCCCAGCCCGAGGTCCTGGGTGTGCCCTGAGGGCAGGGGCTGGGCGGGGCCTCCCCAGGGCGGTGCTTTTCCCAGAGCCCAGGGCGAGGTGGGCAGGCCGGTGCCGCAGAGGCTTGCTGGGACGCCGCCCAGGAATCAGGAACCGCAGCCTCCGTGTTCTCTCCACTCCAGCACCTGGGAGGTGTTTGTGGGCAGAAACAAAACCAGGCTACCCCACTGAGAAAAGGGGTGCGCACAGAACCCGCCACAGCAGCTGTGGGACGGCCGCCCCAAGGGCCCAGACACTGGGGCACCCCGGCTTCACCCTACCTCCAGGCCACCCCCACCCCTCTGGGAGTGCGGCCACGGGATGGAGAGGGAAGGCCCTGGGGCCCGGCAGGCCCTGGGGTGCAGTGGGAGCCGTGACCTCCGTTGCCCATGTTAGGGAGCACCCCCCCCAAAGGTTCAGGTTCTGCCCTCCCCAGCACCCGCAGCTTCTGCCACCTGAGCAACTATTAAATAGCCTGGCCAGCGCCGCCTCCTGCCGTCCACCCCCTGCGGGACACTGTCCAGCACACACCACTGTCCAGCAGCCATTCCCAGGCAGAATGCACTGGAAAGTTCTGCACTGAAGCTTTCACCCCCAGCAGGTCAGCAGCCTGCAGGTCAGCAGCACTGTCTGGCAGGGGGACACTGGCCGCCCAGGGGGTGTGATCTGGGTAGTCGCCCGTGGGCTTGCCACCCTGCCCTCCTGTGCAGGGTCGGGGGAGAGGGTGCCCAAGGGCCGGGCAGATGCCACTGAGCAGAGCCCCAGATGGGCCGCTGAACCAGGAGGAGTGGGGGCCGCTCTCCGCTCCTGGCCACAGCAGCTTCCCCCATGGGCTGACAGCCTGGATGGCCACTGCTGCCCGAGCGGGTGGACATGGGCGCCAGCAAGAGGGCGCCTGTCATGGCTTCGTGGGGGCGTCAGGCACCTCGTTCCCCACACATGTGAAGCCGAGCCTGTGGGCCCTGCCTAAGGCAGGGGACCTCGGGCCTCGTCTCTGGAGAGTGGTGGACCCCAAGGTGACCGAAGGGACTCAGGCGAGCTCCCCTAGCCCTGAATGCCGGGGGTTCTGTCAGCTGTTCCCGGGAGGTCACGGGCCATGAGGGGGTCAGCTAGCAACCTCCCACCCAGCTCCCTGTGATGGGCCCGGAGGAGCAAGTCCTGTGGCCTGGGTCTGTGGGTGGCTGGTTCAGGCTGAGCGCCCAGCCAGAGGGGAGGCCAGCAGATCAAGGGTGGCACTGGCCTCCCCGGGGCTCCACTGAGGCTGGAGGGCCCCCCACCCTGCACCTGCAGTGCCCCCGCCCTCCCTGAGTGCACAGGCCCAGAGCTGGACCTGCCCCTCGGCCAGCATTGTGGTGAAACCCAAGCAGGTGTGTTCCAGTGCCATTGCCAACGCCAGCTGGGTGCCCACCGCAGCCTACCCAGCACCCCATCCCGGCCTCCGTTTCCGAGGGGGACCCCAAAGAAAGATCACAATTAAGTTGATCTAAACCCATGTCTGCGGTGTTGGGGCTGGACTGACCTGGGCTGGGCAGGGGTGTGCAGGGGTGTTGGGGTCATAGCTATGTGGGTGACTCCGTTGGCCCTGCCTCGGGTCAGGCACCCCCTCCCCCTGTGCGGAGACAGGTATGTGGGCTTCACCCCGACTTCATGTGTGTGATTCCAGGCGTGAGGGACGGCCTCGGCCTCGGTCTCTCCTGCTCCCCACCAGACCAGGGCTGGCCAAATCGCGGGGCACAGGCCCTCCAGCGCTCCCTGAACACCGGAGGCCCCAAACTCCTGACACTTGGCCCTGCTTCTCCCTGCAAACACGCCCTGGGCAGGCCGCTCTAGTGAATGTTCTAGACATGGGGCGCTCAGCGCCAGGGAGTGTGGTGGCCCCGCTTTTCTGGACAGAAACAAAATCCCACCGAGAGGAGGAGCAGCACCCTGAGGTGCTGAGCAGTCACGAGCTGCAGGCCCGGGGCCTCTGGGGGACTGTGGTTTCGAGGTCTTTTCCCGTTGCTCTCAGCTGTGCCCAGGCCAACTAAGGGGGGGGGGATTTGGAGAACAAAGTGGGAGTTTGAAGAAACCAGGACGGTTTCGTTGCGGAAGAGGCCCTGAGGTCTTGAGTCTGGACTCACGCTCCATCCCCAAGCTGGGGGGGGGGGGTGCTGGGGTCAATCTCAGGAAATTGAGCTCGAAGCGGCTCCCCTCCCCCAGCCTCCTAAATCCCCGCGGGAGGACCTGCCGCCCCGCCCTCAGGGGAGCCCTCAGGGGAGCCCTCAGAGGAGCCAGCGCTGGGAGCTGGGCACGCAGGGAGCCTGGGGGCCGCAGGAGGGCTCTCCCTCCCCCCTCCCTCCCCACTCCTCCCCGCAGCGACAGACACTCTTCCTTGCCCCAGGATGAAGGGCTTCTGCCCCAGGCCTCCTTCCCAGGGGAACAGCTCGGAGGGCCCGGGGCTGGCGGAGGTGGGGGTCCAAGGGCAGCAGGGCCTGTATGGTGGCCCAATGGTCACTCTTGGCCCCAGTCCCAACTCCCAGGCATAAGGGCTTGCGTGGGGGACCAGGGCTCGCCCCGCCTGGCCTGCTCGCCTGGTGTGGCCCAGGAGAGGCCTCTGGCGAGCTCCCATCCAGGGGAGAGAGGAGCCGTGGCCAGCGCTTCTCCCTCTTCACAGGTGGCCATGGGCTTTGCCCAACGGCGGCGCCCCCTGCCCGCTCCGACGGCCCCCAGGAGCACCCCAGGCCTCCCAGGCCAAAGCCTTCTGTGGAAGCCGAGCGCTGTAAAAGTCCTCCTGCAGAGACCTGGCCCGCTGACCCCCGGGTCTGGTGGCCCCGGCTTTTCGCATCGTCCACCCCAGAGCCCCTTCCTGTCCTGCAAGCGCCGCCCCTCGCGCTCCGGGTCGGGCCTTCGGGCCGTCGGGGAGGGGCGGGTCCCACGGCAGACAAAGCCGGGCGTGGGCAGGCGGCTCGCTGGCCGGCAGGGCGAGGAGGTGCTGGGAATATTTCGAGGCGCCTGCGTGTGCGTGGGGGGCTCGCGGGCCGCCACCAGCCGGGGAAGCCGTTTGCGCTGGACTCGCCGGGACAAAGCTGGCGGCGGCAGGAGGCGGCTGCACTTTTCCGCCTGGGGCCCGGGGCCCAGCAGGGTCAGCGCGGGGCCCCTGCAGTCCGGCTGGTTCGCCGAGCCACGCGCCCGGCTGCGGCTCGCCCTCCTGGGCAGCCCGGCCAGCGGGAAGGGCCGGGTCAGCAGCACCCACGGGGGAGGCGTGCCAGCCCGGGCCTGCCCACCCGCGCCCGCCGCCTCCCGGGCCAACCCGGAGGCCCGGGCGGGCCGCCCACTCCCGCGTGTGCCCCCAGAACCTCCCCGAGAGGGGCTCCCGCGCCGTCCTGCCCCGGCCGGGCCGCAGCCTGCAGCTCCGGGGCTGGACCTGGGCCAGCGCGGGGCGCCCGACGCACGAGCGGGCAAACCCCGCGCGCCGCGGGGGCCGGGGGGCGGCGGCCGGCGGGGGAGCGCGAGCCGGGGGGCCGGGGGGACCGGCTCCCGCGCCCCAGGCCGCGCCGCCCCGCTGCCCGCGCCGTCTCCCCGCGGCGGCCGCGCGCCCAGGTGCTTAGGACCCCGCGGCGCAGGGGCGGGGCGGCGGGCGGCCGACGGTGACAGGTGCGCCCCTCGGCCAATGGCGGGCCCCGCGCCCCTCCCCGGGCGCCCCTCGCGCGCGCCAATCGGCGGCCGCGCTGCGCTTCAAGTGCGCGGAGGGGCGCGGGGCCCCGCCACGGCGCCAGCGGCCTCGGCGCGGTCGCCTGAGGGCTGCAGCGCGGACCCGGCTCCGGCCCCGGCCCGGGCGCGGCGGCGGTCGGGCGCCCGTGGGAGCGCGGGGAGCGCGGGGAGCCGCCCGGGGCGCCGGCGCCGGCGCGGGCCATGGTCAGCCTCGGCTGAGCGCGGCGGCGACCTCGAGTGCGCGGACCGGCCCCTGCGCGAGCCCGGCCGCCGCCCGCGCCCCGCATGGAGAAGTCCCGGAATTTCCGCATCGACGCCCTCCTGGCCGTGGACCCGCCGCGCGCCGCCTCGGCGCAGAGCGCGCCGCTCGCCCTGGTCACCTCGCTGGCGGCCGCCGCGGCGGGCCCGGGCGGCGGGGCGGGGCGGCGGGGCGAGCCGCGGCGGCAGCCCCGCGCCCTCGGAGCCGCCCGCGGGCCCCGCCGACCGCCTGCGCGCGGACAGCCCCTCGCCGCCGCGCCTGCTGGCCGCGCACTGCGCGCTGCTGCCCAAGCCCGGCTTCCTGGGCGCGGGCGGCGCGGGCGGCGCGCCCGGCGGGTCCCACCACCACGCGCACCCCGGCGCGGCCGCGGCGGCGGCCGCCGCCGCGGCCGCCGCGGGGGGCCTGGCGCTGGGGCTGCACCCCGGGGGCGCGCAGGGCGGCGCGGGCCTCCCGGCGCAGGCGGCGCTCTACGGCCACCCGGTGTACGGCTACTCGGCGGCCGCGGCCGCGGCGGCCCTGGCCGGCCAGCACCCGGCGCTGTCCTACTCCTACCCGCAGGTGCAGGGCGCGCACCCCGCGCACCCCGCCGACCCCATCAAACTGGGCGCCGGCACCTTCCAGCTGGACCAGTGGCTGCGGGCGTCCACCGCGGGCATGATCCTGCCCAAGATGCCCGACTTCAACTGTGAGTACCGGCCGCGGGGAGGGGGCGGCGGGAGGGACCCCGCGCGCGGCTCCCCGGCGGCGCCCAGCGCACCCCGCGCCGCCCGCGCCCCGAGCTGGCGAAGCCGGGCGCGCCGCCGGGGCGCCGAGCGAGGCCTCGGGGCCGGCGCCGGGCGGGCTTGGCAGGGAAGGATGAACATGGCCACGCGCGGGCCTGGCCTTCGCTTCCTCTCACCGGGAAGCAGCACTGGAGGTGTGAGGCGCGTCTAATGATTAACCCCAGGCCCGCGAGAAGACCGTTGGGAAGGGAGGGGAGCCGGGGAGGCACCCTCCAAGCTGGCCCAGGGGGGGGGGGCGCTGGGGAGGCCTTGCCCTGGGGAGAGGGAGGAATCCAGGGGCAGCCGGGAAATGGCCCCGAGGACCCCGGCCGGCGTGCCAGGGCCCAGGTGACCCCCGCCCTTGCCAGGGTGCTGCGGCTGCCTGAGGCCGGGAGGCTGCCCGCCAGGCTGGAACCAGGGGGCTGGCGGGCCGCTTCTTTGGGAAGCCGATGGCAGAGACCGGGCGGCCGGGCGCCCCCAGCCCCAGAAGCCAGGGCAGCCAGCACAGGTGGCCCGAGGAGGGCCGGCCGGTCCCGCCCAGAGCCACCGGGCTGGGTCCCGCTTCCTGGGTAGGACGAGGCCTGGGCGGCTCTGGCCTCCGGGAGTCTGGGTCTCCAGGCCTCAGGCCTAGCGGCTTTCTGCTTCCAGCCGCCCACCACCCGGACAAAGGAACCCCATTGTCTCTGTCAGAGCGAATTTGTTTAGACTGAGGAGAAGCAGTTGCTGGGGGCGGGGGAGGGGGGAAGCCAGGAGGAAAGAAAACAGAAAGAAACACTCGCCAGAATTCGGACCCCTCTGCTAGGAGCCGCGCTGGGACTACACAGGGAACAGCTGGGACCCCAGAGGGCTGGGGGTGTCGCGGGCGGGTGCGAAAACGCTGGCAGGAGCTGTTTGCCGCCACCCCAGGTTTTCCCAGCTCAGCTCCAAGAAGGCCCCTCCTGCCAGGGCCGGCCTCCCTGTCCACGCTCACCTCTCAGCTTGGGGGGTGCAGCTCCAGGGATATCTGAGCCTGCTGCCCCCGGCTCAGCCAGACCCAGGGTTCCCCCCGGACCTGGCCTCTAACCGACAAGCTCTTTCTGGAGAAAAGTTGCCCGCGGGTCCCCGAGACCTGGATTCCCCCCAGTGCGGGTGCTTAGCTGCCGGGGCGACGGGCGCTGGTGGCCCAAAGCAGCGGGAGCCCCGCAGCGCCGAGCTCGTGAGAATGGGCCCCTTTGGCGCATGCTTTCCCAGTTCCAGTCCCTGCTCTTGACCTGGAGGGCGCCCTGGAAACGTTGCTTTAAGTTCAGAAATGGAGCCTGTCGCCGAGTCCTGAGGGGACCCGCTGGGCGTGCTCTGCAACCTTCCTCGGCCCCGGGAAACCCCGGTTTCCTCTCGCCTCTTCCGGCGAAGGCATTTCCCGCAAGGTCCCTCTGGAGCCAGCGTTTTAATTAAAGTTCTAATGGATTGCCAGGTTGGGGACGGGGCCTTGTTTCACTAAAGTGGGGGGCGTGGGCCTTCCCATAAAGCGAATTGCCGTCGGGGTGGGCTCGGCCCGGCTGGCCTCTTTCCTTTCCTTTTCTTTCTTTTATTGTCTGACACTTGTCAGGCTCCTGGGAAATCAAGGGAAGTCTCGTTCTGAGGTTGTAAAATTCTCTGTGGTGTAACCGTGTGAAATTATGTAAATAAAGCGCGGACCTCCAGAGCGAGCCGCTCTCCACCCAGGCCTTTCATTTGCGCGATGAGCGAGGCGTAGGGAAGGCGCCCGCCCGGTCTCTGCGCAGCCGGTGCCCCGGGGCGGGCGGTGGCCGGCCCGCAGGTGGGAGGGTCTCCAACGAAAAACGACCTTCCTGGGTCCCGGGCTCCTCCCTCCCTCTTCCTTCACCACCCCCGGCCCCTCCTCGTTTCCCGTCCTCCTGTCCGTGTGCACTAAGGGGCGGCCTCGCCGCACATCTTGCACCAGGGGTGGGTCGAGGCAGGAGCAGCAATCCTGGGCCTCTGGGGGGCTGCTGGGTAGTGGGGAGGCCTTTGGCCCTCCAGCAGCCCCTGCTTCTTGCCCTCGGTCTCCCGGTGCCTGTCGGTGGAGAGGGCGCACCTGGCGCGGGCTCTGTCACTGGGACCCCAGGCCTGACTGGACAGGGGATTCGGTGCCATTAGACCCAGCCTGTCTGGTGCCACCAGCTTGTCCACACTCCACGCTCTGGAACAGCGTCGCTCTCCAGCCACCTTTCCCGGGGAGAGGGCACGGCCCGGAGGGAGGCCTGGCTGGGCTGCGGAGGGCGGTGGCACCGCGGAGGTGGGCCGGAGCCGGACTCTTGCTCTCTGTGCCCCCAGCGCAAGCGCAGTCCAACCTCCTGGGGAAGTGCCGCCGGCCCCGCACGGCCTTCACCAGCCAGCAGCTGCTGGAGCTCGAGCACCAGTTCAAGCTCAACAAGTACCTGTCCAGGCCCAAGCGCTTCGAGGTGGCCACCTCGCTGATGCTCACGGAGACTCAGGTGCGCGCGGCTCCCGACAGCCCCACCCGCTCCCGCACTCCCCCTGCATGCTTGACCCAACGAGTCCTGGGCCTCCAGCCTCCTTACTGACCGTTAGGGCACATCCTGTGCCCACTGAGCGTCCACTTGCCCCCACCAGGCTCCGTGAAGGGCGCCCAGATGGTGGATTCAGTAGGCTGGGGTGCACCCCAGAAGCTGCAGTTTAGGGACTCTGCCCTTCCCCTTCCTGCCGCCTTTGAGAAACTTTGTTCTGCAAAAAGGAGCTTGTGGGGCTCCCGGCCTGGGGTGGGGGTGGGGGTGGGGGTGGGGTGGGCCCGCCCGGCTCCAGCCCGTGAGGGGGCGCGGCTGGACACCCCCGAGCTCCAGGCCCCGGGCGGCGGGCGCGGCCTCACGCGGGTGTCTGCAGGTGAAGATCTGGTTCCAGAACCGGCGCATGAAGTGGAAGCGCAGCAAGAAGGCCAAGGAGCAGGCGGCGCAGGAGGCCGAGCGGCAGAAGGGCGGCGCGGCCGCGGGCAAGGCCGGCGCGGACGACAAGGGCGACGCGCAGCTGCTGGGGGCGCCGGCGCCCGGGGACAAGGGCAGCGGCCGCCGCCTGCGGGACTTGAGGGACAGTGACCCCGAGGACGAGGACGACGAGGACGACGAGGACGCTTTCCCCTACGGCGACGGCGCCGCGGGCCCGCGCGCCGCGTCCTCCGACGGCTCCTCCGGGGCCGACTCCCCGCCGCCGCGGCCCGCCGGGCCCGGGCACCCGCCCCCGCCGCAGTAGCCCGCGCGCCCGCCCGGCCCGGCCCGGCCCGGCCCGGCCCGCCCGCTGCTCGCGGACTCGGCCGCGGGGCGCCGCGCCTGCCCCGGCGGCGTCTGGTTTGCGCGCGGAAGGGGCCCCGCGGGGGGAGCGGGCACCCCGGGGCGCCCGCCCAGACCCCGAGGGAGGGACGGACAGTGCTGCGTGGCCCCGCCCGCCCTGGAAAAGGCCTTCGCGGCCCGCGGGGAGGCCGGGGCGTCGGCGTCTGCGGGAGGAGGCGCCCCGGCCCGCCGTTGGCACGGCTGGAGCCGGAGACCCGCGCGGGCTCTATTTTTGTAGATCGTATTTATATGTGTATATGAAGAAGCTCTAGTATGCATGCTAAATTATTATTTAGCTCCCCACCACCCGGGACGGAATGTAAAATAAATCGTTTTTTACTGGGCAGGTGTGGCTCGTCCCGGGGCCCGGAGGCGGGGTCTGCGGCTGGGGGGGGTCAGAAGCTTGGGGGCGGCGGGGGGGGGCTCGAGGGGGCAGCAGGGGTGACATCCGAATGGCGAGCGGCCGTCGGACGGGCTCTGGGGCCCGGGGAGGGCGCGGGCTTGGTGGCTTGATTCTCGGGGCGCAGGCGAGAGGAGCTGGAGCAAAACCCCGGCCGTTGGGGGCGGGTGGGGCGCCCGCCCCCTCTGCCTGCGGGAGCCCGGGGCGGGTGACCCTGGACTCCGGTCCCCCGCCGCCTCCCGGGCCCGGCCGCCGGGAGCGAGGGGCGGCGACGCCCGTGACGGGCTCGCAGCGCGGCTGGACGGCTCCGCGGGCCTCGCTTCTCCCGCGCGCGCGGCGCCACCGCCGACCTGCCCAGCCCGGCCTGCCCAGCTGGGCCGCGCGCGCTTTGCCCCGGCCGGGCGGCGGGTCGGGGCCTCGGCCCGAGGAGCGCGGCTGCGGGGCGCGCCCCCCTCCCGCGGCCCCCCCCACCCCGGCTGACACGCGGGTTCAGGGGGGCCGGCGCCTGACTCGGTGGTGGCCGCGCCGGGGAGGGCGCTCCCTGCGTCGAGGCCGGGGTGAGATTAATCTCCCCTCTGGCAGCTCATTATCACCCGCTCCCTCCATAAACCGGCCTCCGCCAAGGCCGGGGGCGCGGCGCGGCCGGGGGCGGGGGCTGCGGGGGCGGGGCCGGGGTCCAAAGGTGCCGGCGGGGCCGGGCCGCGGGAGGGGCGGGGGCCGGGCCGGGCCGGGTCGGGCCCTGCGCGGCGCGCGCGGCTCCCTGCAAACGCCGCGGCCTCCCCCCGGCTCCGCGTCGGGGCCCGCCTGGGCGCGGGGCGACCCGGGACTCGGGGTGGCGCGGGCGGCGCATCCGTGGCTTCACCCCAGGAGACGCGCCCGGCCAGGCCGCGCCCTCGGCGAAGGGGCCCGGGAGCCCCGGAGCGCGCGCGGCGACGACCCTCCGCAGAGCCCGGCCTGGCGCGGGACCCGCGCGGCGCGGCCAGCAGCTGCTTAATCGCGGCGGAATTTATCTCGCTAATAAATTTAATGATCAATTCGTTCTTGTCACAGTAGCTCTTCCCCAAATCAATTATAGCAAATTTAAATATAATCACTGGCTCATCCTCACCCACTCCGGGCGCGGCGAGCAATTCATTCCGGCTAAGACGCCGCCCAGCCCGCTGCGGCCCCGGGCCGCCCTCGCCCGAGGCGGGCCTGGCCTTCATCTCCGCACCCCAAAGACCCGACTCCCAGGGTCGGCAGCCAGGTCTCCGCAGTTGCCACCAGACCCCAGAGAGCCAGGACCAGGGCCCTCCCAGCTACCTGCCCCAGGAGGGTGACCGGCAGACCCCTGGCTGTGCCCTGCACTACCTGGGCCTCAGGGCCCCCCAAAATGCATCCACCCCCAACCACATCCTGCCCTGGCCAGCCCGCACCAGCTCCTCATTCTCTCCCCTCCACGCGCCGGTGTTTGTGGTGCTCTGCAGGCTGTGGAGGCAAAAAACCAGCCCACCCCGCCCTCCAGGCGACACCCAGCTGGCGACACTCCTGCCAGCTCTGGCAGAACTGGGGTGCTGCGCGGGGCCCACTGTTAACACCCCAGCTTAGAAGTGCGGAGCAAACGCCAGAATGCCTCCCCTGACCTGTCCCCAGACAGAAGATCAGCCTAAAATACTCCCCTTCACACCCAGAACCAGCGCCAGCGCCGCCGCAGGGAGCAGAGTCCGCGCAGCGCGGGAGAGCGCGGGAGGCGCCGGCGGGCGGGACACGTGTGCGGCGCTGACCAGGTCAGTGCTGCGGGCAGGTCGGGGGACAGGGACTCAACAGCAGCCAAGCTTGAGCTGAAAACCCCGGTGGCACGAAGGGTGAAGCGCAGGACGGCGAGGCTGTCCCCGGCCTCCGCACAGGGGTGGGGTTCGCGCCAGGGAGCGGCCGCGGGGCCGCAGACCCTCCCGTCTCCCCGCGGCTCCCTCGGCGGTGTCTTCCGGCCGTCCGCCTGCTCTGCTCCCCGCTCTGCCTCTGGGGGGTCCTCTCACCCCCACACCGCTGGCCTGCGCCCCAGCTCTGTGTGCACCCGCACATAAATCTTAAAAAGAAGTAAAGCAAACGCAGGGAAGGGCTTGCGCAGAGGCCTCTCCGCAGGACGCGCCGCGCCGCGAGGCGGGAGGCCGCCAGGCGGTGGAACGTGGGCGAGGGCGGCCCCGGGGAGGGAGTGAAAGCCCCGAACCAGCCCCGGGCCCAGCAGGACTCGCAGCCCCGCCGGCGGGTCCCCAGGACGCGGGGCTGGCGGGGCTGGGCCGGGGCTGGGCCGGGCTGCGCTGGGGGCGCGGCGCCGGGGGAAGGAGGACGAGCCACGCCGGCCGGCGGGAGGGTCGCTCGGGGGCGCGGCGCCCGGGCCGCGCGCGCGGGGGAGCCCGCAGGCCGGGGAGGGGGGGGCGCGCGGAGAGCAGGGGGCGCCGGCCGGGGGTGCAGCGGCCGAGCCCGGGTCCCGCGCGGGAACGTCCGGAGATCGCGGGTGACGCTTGCTGAGGAGCCCAGACCCTCCGCCCCGCGCGCGCCCCGTTTCCTCTCGCGTCCGCGCCCCTCCTCCCGCGCGCGGCCTCGGCCCCCCCCCCCCGGGAAGGCAGGTGTGGAGCCCGCCCCGCCCCGGCCGCGCCCCGCCCCCCGCAGGTGTCCTGGGCGGGGGTGCGGGAGGGGCCGCGGGGGGCCGCGGGGGGCCGCGGGGGCGCCCCCAGGACCCCCGCCTCGTACCGCGGTCCCGGCGCGCGGCGTCGCCCTCGCGAGGCAGCCCCGGCGCGGCGGCAGCCGGCGGGCCCCGGGGTTCGCGGGGGGTGAGTCCCGCCCCCGCCGGCACCTGCGACGGCCCCGCGGCACTTTCGCTTCGCGGGGCGCTTTACGACGCCCAGGTGCGCCCCGGGCGGAGCCGGCGGGGAGCGGCCGCGGCCGGCGCGAGGGGGGCGCGGCGTCTCCAGGCCCCCGCCCGCGGGCCCTCGCGGGGGTCGGCCTCGGGCGGGGGCGTGGGGGGCCCCCCGCCGAGGCCCAGCCCCCCGCGCCCCCGCGCCGACCCCGCATTCCGGGGCCCGCGCACCTGGCGCCCGCCCCGCCCAGTGTACACAGGCGAGCGCGCCCCGGGCCATTGTCCCCCGCGCTGGCGCAGGACAAAGGTGCCCCCGGCCCGCGGCCCGGGGTGGGGGCGCGGTTTACCCAGCTGGGGGGAACAAAGGCGCCGCCTTATCGCCGCGCGGTGGGAACCCGGGAGGGGCTGGGGTCAGGCCGGGGGCGCGGCCCGAGGGCCGGTGGGGTCTCCGCGCCTCGCGGGCGTCCCCCTCCGGCCGCCCCCGGCCGAGACCCGCCGGCTTCCGGGGCGCGGGCCCGCCCGGCTTCGCGGGGCTCCCGGGGCCCCCGGGGGCGGCGCCGGCGGGCCGGGGGCGCGGGCGGGGCCCCGCGGGAGGGGCGCGGCGGGGCTCAGGGCGGGGCGCGCCTTCTGCGGGGAGCGCCCTGCCGCGGGGCGCAGCCGCCTCCTGCCAAGCGCGGCCACGGCGGGGCGCGGGGCCCACTCGGGGCTCCCGTCCGTGAAGGGAAAGGAAGGCCCCCCGCGCCCCGTCTTACCTGCAGCCGCCCAGGCTGCCCGTCCCGGCTCACGTGTCCCGGAGCCGTGGCCGCATCCCCACACCCGGGATTAGGGGCCCACGCAGCAGCCTTTCACCCCCAAAGCAGACACCGCCAGGAAGGCCCCGGCTCCGGACGCCCGCCGTGTGCGCGGCCCCGGGGTCCCCCGTGGCCAGGACAGGGCCCCGGGGCTTGCCTGGAGCGGCCGGACAGTGCCGGGCGGAGCAGGAGCGCGTGGGGACGGCGCGGGCAGGGGCGCTGGAGGTGCTGGGATGGAGCACCCCCCCCCCTGGGGCCTGTGTGGGGCCCGGTGCCCGGAGTGGGCTGGGGTGCCGGCTGCCCGCCTTCGTGGCGCTCTGGCGGTTGAGGGGTATCTCCCTAGTTCATTTACTGACCCTCCCCCTCATGGTGGAGTAAACCCCCCAGAGTAGAACAGACACGCCGGGTGGTGGGGGCAGGAATTTGGCAAGAGAAGTGCATTGTGCGTGTTTCTTTATTGATACATAATTGACACATCACATTGTATTCATTTTTTATGGTTTTGACGATTTTATTTTTATTTTTTATTTTTTGCTTTTTTAAAATTTTTATTTATTTATTTATTTTTGGGGGTAAAGATTTGTTTATTTATTTATTTATTTATGCATACATACACACAAGCACTGGGTACAGTCAGAAGCGCGGGAGGGTGAGAGGACTCACCAGAGCCAGAGCGGGGAGCAGAGCAGGCAGAAGGACCGAAGGACACTGCTGAGGGGAGCAGCGGGCGGCAGGGGGGGTCTGCGCGCCCTGCGGGACCCTCCTCCGGTGGCTGGGGAGCAGCCGGGGATCAAACCGGCGCCGCAGAGGCCGCGGGCAGCTTCGCCACCCAGCGCTCAACCGCTGCGCCACCGGGGAGGCCCTTGACGATTTTATTTTTATTTATTTTATTTATTTTTTTAGATTTATTTTATTTTATTTATACGAGCACTGGGTGCAGTCAGAAGCGCAGGAGGGTGAGAGGATTCACCAGAGCCAGCGCGGGGAGCAGAGCAGGCAGACTGAGGAAACCCACTGCTGAGGGGAGCAGCGGGGAGACAGGAGGGGTCTGCTGCGCCCTGTGGGCCACTCCCTGGCCAGGGGAGGTGGGGGTGGGGGTGGGGGGTGCACTGGTGCTGCAGAGGCTGCGACTTAACCTTTGTGCCCCCAAGGAGGCCCACATTGTATTCACTCTAAGTGTACAACGATTTCTTAATTTTAACAATTAATTCACACCTAAGACTGCTCTAGAACATGGAAAACAATGTTTACAGACCCGTGCCCAGCTGAGGAGAAGCCTGAGGGCTCTGAAAGGGGGTGCTCTCGAGCAGCCGCCAAGACCAGCAGGGCTTCCCTCGAAGTTGGGGACCCCAACACCCCGTGTCCCAGCCTCCCTCACTGCTGAGGCGCCATGTCCCCACCCCAGCTCCCTGCCTGGGCCCAGCACGGGCTCCTCCTGGCCTGTTGACCCTTCCAGGAGGGATGTGAGGCCTGCTCCGGTGCCAGCGCCCAGGGCAGAGGGCCGAGAAGTGCAGGCACCGGCCCTGGGCTTTCGTGCTGCCTCACCTGGTCACCTTTCTGGGTGCCCTGAGCCCCATCCTCACCTGAGACAGGAGCCCTGACAGGTCCCAGCAGCCAGGTGTCATTGTACCAGGTTCCTGGGCCCTTGACAACACCCCACCCCCCAGTAGCTCTGCGGCAAGGCCTGGGGCTGCGGGTGCCCGAGCCCCCGTGCTCCAGCGGTGCTGGCGGCGAGGGCTGGAGGGCTGGGAGCAGGCTGTGGTGGGTGGGATTGAGCAGTTGGGGAGGAAGTCTCTGTGGAGACCCCTGGGGTGCGGAGCCCAGGCGCTGGCATTCCTGAGTGGGTGCAGGGGGGCTGGACCGCAGGCCCTGGGCTCCTCGGAGTCTAGCGAGGATGACCACACCCAGGACACAGCAAAATCCTGACAGGGCCAGAGCTGGCGGCGGGCAGGGCCGGGCCTCTGGGTCTGGGCTGGGGCCGCAGGGGACAGGGCCCGGGGCGGGCGAATGCGCTCCTGGACGGGCCTCCCCTGGGGAGGGGGGTGGGGGCCCGGGGTGGCCTTCGCTCTGGCTCTTCGTTGCGTGGGCTCCCCGACCCACCCGCAGGCACCGGCCCGGTCACCTCGCACCCCCCCCGCCCCCGCCACGGCTCTGGGTTCAGGGTCCGCTGCAGGTTTGTCTTCTTTTCAGGAGCCTGCTGCCTGTGCACCCTCCCGGCCAGTGCCATCTCGCCCCCACAGCCCTGTCCCCACTGGCCCCATGCAGCTACCCCCACAGGGGTGGGTCACCTCCATGGAGAGCCAGCTGCCCTGTCTCAGGCTCTGCCAGGTGTAAGCAGAACTCAGACCTGCAGGCCACTGACCAGGCCACACCCAGGAGCCCCCAGGAGCTGGGCAGGCGCGAAGCAGGAGCAGGAGGGTGGGGCGGCGGGTGCTGGGGCTATGGCTCCGGCTGAGAATTCTCACTCGGACACCCAAGCCAGCGCCGACACGCAGAGGCCGACTGTGGCTCTCACGCTCACGGGAGAGGGCGTGCTGGTCCCTCCAGGGGGCCCAGGGGCGGCTTCCCAAACCAGGGGGACACCTCAGGGCCATCTGCCCCCACCAGCCGGCTTAGAGGGTCGCCCGGGCAGGCCAGAAGATGGTATCTTCATGAAACAAAGTAATTTGCTTTTAATGACGGCCAGTGTTTTCTTTCCCAGCTCTATTTGGACAGATAACGCGGCCCGGCTCCCTGGCAGGTTAAACCACCATGACCTTCATAATCAGAGAACAAAAATAAATGATATTTACTCATAAGTGTTCCTAAGTCTCCAGTGCCCAGCTGCCTCCTAATCGCAGATGGGGCGATAATATTCCCCTTTTATCGGCCTTGCGCTCCCGGCTAACAAAGCGCTTTTATTCCTCAGCGGTGGGAGCCCGAGGTGGCTGGGCTGTTCCCACCGAGACGCCGGGGCGGCAGGGCCCTGCCAGCGGCCTCGAGCTGCTCCCCTGCGGCCCCTCTGGCCTTGGTGGCTGTGTGGAGGGCGGGCAGGGGCGCCGCACGTCCCGTCCCCAGGACCCGGCTTCATTCTGACTTCCGAGTCCTGCTGAGCAGGAGACGGATCCTCAGCCAGTTTCTGCCTGACCCAAGACCCCGACCCCTCCCAGGGCCCCCAGACCTCTGTTCTGCAGCCCCCCAGGCATCCCAGCCCCCCTCAGCGCCCCAAACCCCTCCAAGCCTCCCTAGGCGCCCCCCACCTCACCAGACCCTTCCAGGCCCCAGGCCCCTCCTGGTGCGCACTGCCAGGGTGCAGTGGGGGAAACACCCACACGGAGCTGCCTCTGGGCCTTGCCAAGCATCTGGAGCTCAGCCGTTCGGAAAGCGCTGGTGGCTCTGGCGGGGGCCGCGCCAGGACGGGGAGCTGGGAGCCCTCCAGGCCCGGGCTAGCCACACAGCAGGGAGAAATGTCCCGGAGGACTCTGGAGGGTCAGGGATTCCACATCGGGGCCCCGGGCTCTGCCGGGGCCCAGTTCAGCCAGGGGGGACCCCAAGCCCGAGAGCCTGACCTTAGGCCCTGGGGAGATGCTGGCTGCCTGCTGGCCGGGCTGCCGCAGGGGGCGCTGGACCGGGGAGAGCAGCTTCCATCCAGACAGACCCAGGGCCCCAGGAGACCACACAGCAGGGCAGGGCAGGGCAGGGCAAGCCCCGCCCCGCCCCCCAACAGACAGGAGCCTGGGCGAGGGGTTCTGGGTCCTGTAGGGTCGTCTCCTGCTTTGGGGGCGACACTGGAGTTGCCCTTCAGGGATAAAGGAGTTCCTGGAACAGCGTCATCGCCAATGGTGCAGAGAACACCCTGGGCGTTGCCTCCCCAAGGGATGTGCCACTCGCAGGCCTGCTGGAGTCGAGTCCACTGCCTGGGCCTCCCCATGCCTGACACCCAGGCTCTGACCTCACTAGGCTCTGCTCCTGCTCCCCCACGAGCACCCCCAGGGCACCGCTGGTCCACCCCAGGCCTGGCGCTCACTTGAGAAGGCGGCGGGAGGTCTCCGGCTTTGGAGAGTTCCTAGCTACGCCACAGGATGTGGTTAGTGGAGCCGTCTGAGGTGCCCAGGGCCAGCCTGCCCCAGCCGCAGCCCCCATGCGCACTTGGAACTCATGGCAGCTTGTGGTCAAAACTGTGGACTCTGGTCAAGGTGTCCGCTGAAGCAGGACTACCTGAGAGCAAACACCGTCCGTGGCCACGTTTGTTTGTTGTTACACACCGCGTCTCGGTGTTGTACGGCAGTGGCCTGCTCTTAACAAGGTTTCTGAGGGACAGACTTCGAGACAACCTGCCCTTTAACAGCGCGGAATCGAGGCGAAGGATGAGGTCACAGGCAGCCCCTGGACAGATTTTGATTTTGTTGTAATAAAAGCGCACGTGTGGACCGGGCGCCCAGCGGGGGTCTCCTGCAGGACACGCGCCCGTCCAGGCGGCTGGAGGTCTGTTCTCACCCCGGCAGCAGCGTCCCTAGCCAGGGCGTCCGATGCCAGTACCCGAGGCAGGACCCCACCTTCCCAAGGGGAGGCTCCCCACACCCTGCCTTGGGGCTGCGGTGCCGGGGCTCAGCACTGCCTTGGGGTGGGCCGCCACCTGGTCTCCCGCCCATGTCGGCTAAAGCCAGGGCCAGGGTGTCCACCGCTGCTCTGCGCACGCCCTGGCGGCTCCTCCCAAGGTCCAAGGGGGGGCGCATGTCTTCAGCAGCCAAGGGAGAACCAAACGCTAAGGGCCGGGGACACGGCGCACACAGCCCCTGGGATGGCCCGGGCGGTCTCAGCCAGGTGGAGCGGGGGCCAGTCAGTTGGTGCCTCAGCACGCACTGGTTCTGTTCTGTCGGCTCTGCATTTCCTAGAACCCCACTTGCCAGCAGCCCGTGCAGATGCTGCCGTCGGGAGCAGAGCGACTCGATGGACAGGGGCAGGTTCTGGCCTCACGGGTCAGACCTCAGGGAGACGAGAGGAGAAGACCCGCGCACCGTCGTGCAGGTGGGACGAGGCTCGAACCCGCCGGCTCCCGACACCCGCTCAGGCGCCACGTCGCAGACAGGTCTGCACTGCTAACCGATGCACAGACGCGTCCACCTCTTCACAGCTGCACCGCCTGGTGGCCCTCCGACCCAAGGCCCCCCCGCTAGGGATGCCCAGCCCCCACCACAGCCGCGCATCCAAAGTGACTTCCAGTGCAGCATCTGAGCACATCCTGAAGGCGCCGCCAGTGAGCCCAGTGGCAGGCCTCTGGGCTCACAAAGCAGTTTCCAGCCAGGGCCCCGGCTACAGGCGCAGGGAGGCCTTCCCCTGCAGGGACCGGGCGGCCAGCTCCGCCCTCTCCCGCAGCAGGCTGGCATCCTCCGCGCTCCGGTGCCGCGCGCTCCTCAGCAGGAAGTGGCTGACGAAAAGCTTCAGGCCCTCGCGAAACACACCCAGCTTGGGGTTGTCGGACACCCTGGGAGAGAAGGCCAGGTCAGCCGGGCTGCGCAGCCCCCACAGGGAACCGGATGAAGCGAGGGTCCCCCGGTCCGGGAGGCTGCGATGGGGCGCGCGCCAGCTCTGCCAGGCCCCACTTGACAACAGGAGCCTCCGTGGAAACGGCGGCCGTGAGCGAAGCCCTGGAAAGCGCGGCGGCCCTGCTGCTACGAGCCGAGGGAAAACAAAACCCCCCTCCGTCTCCCGTGCGAGCCGGACGTACCGCGCGAAGACTAAGGCGAGGTCTTCGACGTCGGTTTCCACCAGCAGCTTATGTAACACTTTCCGCAAAAAGTGGACTCTGGGTTTGTCCAGTTCGCTGAATTCTACTACCTAGGAGAGTCAGGCCAGAGAGAAAAATGAGGTCCCACGGACTCGGCCAACTTCCCCGATGCCTCATAAATGGTCACCCGGAGGACCTGGCCCATGCCCGGCCGGGGCCGCCGCTCCTGGCCAGGCCCTGAGGCCCGGTGCTCTGGGGGGCTGGGGGAGGGGGAGGCTCCCTCGGGCGAGTGGGAACGTGGGACACGCGTTTTCTGAGGCAAACACAAGCCGTGACACCATCGTTTTCGTTGCTTTGGCAAGTTTCACCCATTACACACACCTTCAAGACGGAGAGCGGAAGTGCTTTTGTTTTCAGCAAGTGAGCCAGCAGGTGGACCAGGTTAGAGCAGTTCGTGGCGGGCAAGCTTTCCAGGTCCCGCAGTCTGTCCCATATGCTGAACTGGAAGGTCATCTGGCAGCAACCAGAGGAAGAGAGAAGCTAAGATGCGATGAACCCGGGGGGGCGGGGGGTTGCCACGCCAGGCCCCACGGCCGGGAGCCCTACTGGCGGCGCTGGGGGTGAGCCTGCGGGTGGGGCTCCTGCTGACCTGAAACCGCCGCTCGTACTCGCAGAGCTTGCCCGCCAGGAAGGCGTAGAAGGGGTTGTAGGTTTTCTCCTGAAGGCAACAGTCCACCAGCACGTGGACGATCTCCCTCTCCTGCTGATCCTTCAGCCCCAGCCTGGAAGGCAGAACCCGAGACGCCACGGGCGGTCTGGACAGCTGTAGAGCCCATGGTCAAGGCCCGCCCAGGGGCTGGGTCCCTGCCCCGGCCAGGCCGCCCTCCCTTAGCTTCATTCCTGCCCTGCCATTGGGCCAGCACGAAGCCCCGGGTCCTTGGCAACGGACCTTCCTTCAACTACCGCCCGCCCCGCAGGAAGGAGCAAGGAGCCCGGGCCTGGCAGTCCGTCCCGCCCAGCGCGGGGCCTCTCCGCAGGGCAGAGGTCCCAGCTGCAGGGAGAGGGGACCCTACGCCCCCCGCCAGGGAAGCGTTGGCCCTGGCTGAGGGCGCAGGCAGGTAGTCCCCATCTGCTGGGACATGTTCCCATCGGCTCGTGCCAATGAAATTCAGCAGAATGAAACAGAATTGCTAGACAGGCATAATGCCGTGGGCTGAGTTCTCCAGACCTGGCGTCACCTGGCGGGCCTCACCACGCACAAGGCAGACATGGGGGGGGACCACCACCAAGAGGCACCCACTTGGGAAGGAGACCCTGGGGAGGTGTGGGGAGCACAGGGCAGAGGGACATGACTGAGGACTGGGGGGCGTGCTGGGGTCACACACGTCTGAAGCGGATGAACACTGACTCACATACGGTGTTGGAGGGCCACGTGACCTCGATATAAAAATATAAACTAAAGAAAAAGAAACTTCTGATTATGAGAATTCTAAATTTAATCTTCTCACCAGATTTCATTCTGAGTCTGAAACGAAACCTCATAAACATCAGAATAGCCTTCAGAACAGTTGACCTTTAATCCACATGTAACTTGATTCCCCAGGACCTGCCGACAAGTCACCCTTGGGGTCCTCAGGACGGACACTAAGACCCTGGGGGCCAAGCCCCTCAGAGCCGCCTCTGGCACTTACCAGGGCTGTGCTGGCCCCGAGCAGAGCCCCAGGAGGGCCTGCGGATAGGGAGCCTGTGCAGCACCCCGAGTCGTGGGGGGCCTGCGCACGCTGTGGGAGCACACAGCGCTGCAGAGGTCTCCCCGGCCGGCACAAAGCCCCGCCTGCAGCGCCTCAGCGGGATGCTGCCAGAGACCAGGGGCTCCGCCACCGCAGCTACCGGGACGACTGCGGCCCCCGCAGCTCCGGCCCCAGCCGCTCACAAGTGTTCTAGCCTGAACGGCGGGGTCATCGGGTGCCTGCCGGGCTGCCCCCAAAATACACCCCACCCCACTGAAGTCAACACCCAATCACATCGTAAGCCACAGGCCACACCCACACTCACTTGAGCAGCTTTTCAAACGCGTCCAAGAAATCTTCACTCGTCACGATTGTACAGAATATGTTTCTCCTGACGTCCGTGTTCATTCTCTGCTTCCGCGCCAGCTCGAGAATCTTGGCGCTAACCTGAAGAGAGGGACAATCGGAGCAGAGGTTTTCCCCGAGAGGCTCCTGGGGTTCAGCGCAGCTACTGAAACACCAAGCGCGTGGCTTTGTGGCTTGCCTGACCGTAACTAAATCAACACGTACACAACATGCAACACGTGTGTGTCATCGTGCGCACGTGCGATCGTGAAGGTGCAATCGTTACTCCAGAGCAGCGGCCCGCAGGACAAAGAGGAGCAAGAGACGAAGCAGGAGAAAACCCTCACGGCGGGGGCATCCCAGCAGCGGGCGCGAGGACACGGAGTTGCAAGAAGCCAGGCTGAGACGGGGTCCTGGGCAGGGAGGGGGGCAGGGAGGGCCGTGGCGCCCCACCCCCGGGACAGGGGCCTGCACGGCCAGCGTCTGAGTGCAGAGCCCGGCATCTTGCACTCAAGGCTTCCACGCGAGGTGTTCTGGGGCTTTAGACATCCTTTCATCGGGGAGACAGCAGAAATTAAATCACACCCAAACAGCGCTAACTTTGACAGTGTTCAAATACTCCACGCATGGGCAAGGCGTGAGCACCCACACAGGGAGCCCGGGGCGCAGGCCTCCTACCGTCCCTGCCGGCTGCCGAGGGCGCGCCTGCTGGCTGTTGTCGATCATTGGTGCCCCACTCCACGCAGACCCCACGATCCACCAGCGGCCAGTCTGCTGGGCATTCAGGACGTCGTCCCAGGAGACGCGCAGCTGCGAGTCGGCGCCTGAGCCGATGCCGCGCACCTGCAGGCGGGAGAGGGACTCAGACCAGCCCCATTGGGCGCCAGCCCGAACCCCAGGGTCTTCGGGAAGCGTCACCTGAGCAGAGGCTCAGGGAAGCCCTGTCAGGCTGGCGGTGAGGATGCAGCAGGAGAGACACGTGGACTTGCCAATTCCGCCCTGCGACCTGGGCGGAGGGGGTTGCCCCAGCGGGAGCAACCAGAAGCACCCTGGACTTCAAACGGACGCGGGCCCGTGATGCCACTGCCCACCAGCACTGCAGGCTGAGTGCGGAGAAGCTCCATGCACAGACCCCACCCAGGACACCACCATGCGGGTCGCCCCCGGCACAGGCCTGCTCCGCGAGCCACGGCCCCACGACTCACCAGAGCCCTCTGCAGCTTCCTCAGCCTCTCCACAGGCTCAGGGTCGTAGCCCGGTATCTTCCGCATGTCGTTGTTCTTCAGAGCCAGCATCGTCTCCAGCATGAACCGGACCTAAGCCATAGAGGAGCCCATTTGTCTCAGGCCTGACAGTGGCCCCCTCCAGGCGGGAACCCCCACTGTGCACGCAGCCGCACCCACACCCGAGGTCCTCTCCCTGACCCCTGCCCCTCATCGGTCTTTTTACTTTTGCGTTTAAATTGGAAAGACGCCCAGAGAAAGGTCACAAGCACAGCCCGTCTGACATCACCCCAAAGGCTGATTTTCACTGAGGGAGAACCCACAGCCCAGGAGGTGCTCCTGGCCCATCCCAGGCCGCACAGCTACCACCGTACACTTTCCAACACCTCTGCGCCCTGCAGAGCCGCCCCTGGCTGGGTGCTCAGGCGCCCGAGTGCTGACCCCTGACACTCAGGGCAACTGTCAGGAAGGCCCCGGCTGTCAGCCCTCACTGCTTGGGAGCAGGGCCTTGTCCCCCAGGGGCGTGTCCCTCTGGGCTCTCCTCCTCCATGTAGCTAAGGAGGGCAGCCAGGCCGAGGCCTCCCCACTTCCCGCTGGCTGCTCCCACCCAGGGTTTCCAGATACTTCACAGGCTACCTTGCTCCGCAGACCCCAGCTGGGAACCTGGTGACCTCTGTCCCTAAGGTCAGACCCCAGGCCTGGTCCCTCCTAGCCCAAGCCCACATCCTTAGCAACATGCTCACGCCGGCCCCACCCTGGCCTCTCCCTGCCCTGCCACCTCCCACCCTCCATGGCAGCCCGAGAGAAACTTCACATTGTTCAGCTCCTGGGAGCCCGCAGGCTTCTGGGAAGAAGCGCCAAGTCCTTGAAGGGTTAACACGCCCTCCAGGTGGTTGCTCTAACAAGTGGCATCCTCACCCCCACCCCCAAGCACCCCATTTTTCAGATGGGGAAACGGACGCTGAGAGATTGGGCCAGGCCACGCCAGTCCTCACAGACCAGGGGCCGTGCGCCTGCCACCCGCAGCCAGCGCGTCTTGAAAGGAGGAGAGTTAGCTCCACCTACAAAGTCCACAAAAGTCGAGTTCTCACTGAGAAAACAAGGGGTGTCCACGCAACACAGAGCAAGCCAAGACCTGCTGAGGCAGAGACAACAGGTGCCGTGGGGAGGTTGACCCCAAAGGCCACCATGGGCGCGGCCAGAGAGCGGCGCCTGGGGCAGGGTGGCGGGCGTACCCTGGTCTGGTCCTGGAACTGGCTGCCGGCGCCAGAGGCTTTGGCCTGGGCCTCGGCGATCAGCTCCTTCAGCGACACTGCGTCGTCCTTCCTCAGCGAGAAGCCCACATTTCTCAGCATCGCCAGGATGAGCTCAACGTCCTTTTCCGTGAAGGTGGCGGCGAGTTTCCTGAGGACGTCAAAGACGAGGCGCGCCTGCACCACGCGGAAGTTGTACAGGTGGGCAACGATGGCCAGCAGGTTTTCACACTCCTTTCCAGGGCCTCCGCCAGCGTAGATGGCGTCAAACCGCCGCACCACGGCCTCCAGGAAGTGCGCGCCCACCTGCAAGGAGAGGACTCGCTGCCCACCGCGCGCCCAAGCCCGGTGTAGGGGCCAGGCCTTGTGAGCCAGCGCACACGTGGGAGGCCACTGCAGGGAGGCGGCGTCAGACCAGCTTCCGGCCCCACCCGGGAGGAGCCTGCCGAGCACCAGGCCCTGACTGGGAGGCTGCGCTGGAGGAAGGAGGCCAGAAGGAGGGCAGCAGGTCAGTGGGTGAGGATGCAGCATGGGAGGGCGGGCGACTATTGGCTTGCAGCGGGGGCGCCTCCCTCGCACAGCCCACTGCGTCCTGACCAAGTCCCTGGGGAGAGGTGCCCAGCCCCTCCCAGGAGGGATCGGCACACGCCTCGGCACCGGGGCCCAGTCGTACTGGCCACCGGGGTGCTCCTTCCTTCCGAGGCCACCTCCCACCCCACGTAGAGGTTGGTCAGCAGCAGCGATGCCAGCACTCAAACGGGCCAGGTGGGCCCGGGCCAGTGCCACGGGCAGGGGAGGCGGCACCTACCTCGACCCCCACGGTGTGGTGGAGGACGCTGAGCAGAAGCACGTGCTCCATCACCAGCCGGCCCGGCATGGCGGTGTCCGGCGCGCAGGCGCTCAGCAGGGCGGCCGTCAGCGTGTCGCTCATGTCCTTCCGGCTGTGGGCCATGTACAGCTCCTCCAGCTGCCCGCTGATGGAGGCCATGTTGGGCTCGCTCAATCTGCAGGGGTGCGAGGATGCGCAGGGTGTTTGCCTTCAGAAGGCACTTTGAGGTCCAGGCCGGCAGCACCACCAGCTCAGCACCACAGCTGACCGCAGACCACACGTCCCGTGTTCACGCAGAGCACACGGCCCCCCAGGAGCCTGGGCAGGGCATGCTGCCCCCGGAGTGCACCGGGGCACACACAGGGCTCTCTTCCAGCCCAGGCTGGGACAGGCTCTGCTGTCCCCTGACCCCCTGGCCCCAGGCAGACGCATGGAACCCTCCTCAGACTGCTGTGTTGCCGGGAAAACTCGTTTCCCTCCCCTCCTTTTTGTGCTGGCACAATAATGCCCAATGCCAGGGGTGCCTTGTGACTTGGGGGAAGCCATGCCCACGCACATCACGTGTTTTTGCACCCGCAGGAGTGCAGCGTTGCACCTGTGCCAGCACCGGCACTCAGGCGCCCGTCTGGGAAACGCCGGGACGCAGCATGGTGTGTTTTAATTGAAAAGAAATGAAACATGAAAAGCAAGAGGGCTGGGCGTGGCCACAGGGGAGCAGGCAGGAGCCACCGGTGCGCCCCGACACCAGCGCCCACAGGTAAGCGGTCAGGCCGAGCCAGCTCTGCACTTGCACACGTCTCACCTCCTGCCCTCTGGACTGCGCCAGAGTTGTGCAAGTGGGGTTGGGGGGGGGGCTCCCACTACATGTCTTTGTAACCCCCACAAGCCCATGATTATTTCTAAATAAAACTATGAGCAAAGACTGGTACAACTACAAGACAACGCCACAGCAGGCGCCAGGGGCCCGCACCTCCAGAGCAGGCTCAGCCGGGCGCTCGAGCTCCTGGAGAGACGGCAAGAGGGATTTCTCACCCCTGCTCCCCAGAGCGGGCGGCTGGCTGACCGCCAGTGCCAGGAGAGGCTTTCCGGCCACCAGTGCACGTAGACAAGGGGCCCAGGCATGAGCCGGTGAGGAGGGAGGTCATAGGCTGGAGCACGGGGCACCGGGTGCTGGGCCGGAGGAGCAGCAGCAGAACCTGCCCAGAACCCCACAGGTTCTGGAGGAGTCATAGAACACGCTGGTGCACCCTGCTTTGCAAGTTGGGCCCAAGGGCATGAGGACAGACACAGAAGGAGCGGGCGGTGGCAGGGCCGCCCCTGCACCTCGTCTCTTTAAGGGCGTAGAAGCACCTCACCCCACGGTACCTGTTAATCAGGCCTTTGACGCGTCTCCTCAGCCTCTCAAGCTCCTTCTCTTTCTCGGTGTCCGCAGCACCCCCCACTTGCCTCACAGGGGCTAGGGTGCACGTTTCACCGTGTTCACAAAGACCCTGCTAGAAAGGACAGAAGGAGTAGCAGAAAGCGGTGTGGCCCCCCCGTCCCCTTTGGGTACACATTTCAGGGCAGTGCCCTGCTTCTGCCCATCGCTGTGCTGCAAGCCCCCCTCTTTCTTGAGTGCCTGGTGTGGTCCTGGGGCGCACCACTGGCTGGTGTGGCCACCGGGAGGAGAAGACCTGCCCGCAGCCCTGCCTACACCTGTGGCCAGACTGGCATACACTGGGACAGATGGAGCGCCTGCCTGGAAGGCAAGGGTTCCGCAACAACCTCACGCGTGGCGCCACAGACTTAGATGTGCACGATCAAGTCAGTGACCCTGGCCCGCACTCTCCAGGTCACCAACAGGCAGGGCTCCCGATCACTGTTGTAACAACCAACACTCCTGGCCCCACGCGGCAGGTCTGAAGGACACGACAGTGTGTCCCTAACACGTCAAGGAGCTTCACCTTTGCTGGAGAAAGTACATTACATGCGCAGAAACTGCCACCCCAGAGACCCCGAGCTCAGGCTGGACATCAATTGCACAATAAGACGTGAAAGAAAACTCTGGAGTCGGAGATGCTATAAAACAGGTGCTCTAGGAGAGCAACTGACGGCACTAGGGCTTGCCCACAAAGTGCCCGGAGGCAAGGACCCGGGACAGCCCACACGGTTAAAGCAGAGACTCTGCAGGTGCTTGGCACTGACAGCCGCAAACCCAGGCTAAACCAAGGACGGTCCTGCAGCCCCAGGAGGGGTGTATTGAGGGGCCAAGCACGGGCTGCAAAGGAAAGGGAACCCCCAGGCCCCGGCAGCGGAAGCCCCGGGGCGGGCAGGAAGGCCCTGCCGCCGCCCTCTGGTTCAGGTGAGACTGATTCGCCGCAGGAGCGGCTGGACAAGGAGAGGCCGGGTGGTCAGGGCACTGCGTGCCCCGGGGCTCCAGAGCGGAGGTGGTTTGGGGCCTGCCCCGGTGAAGGGGGGGAGGGCTCCCGAGGACCCCTGGCGGGAACGGCCGCTGCCCCTGGACAGAAAGGGCTCCCGACGCGGCCCCGCGCCCCCCACCCCGCGCCACGGACCGTCGCCGCCACCTGGGCCGTCGCGTGAGCGTCCGCGGCGCCGCCTCCTCCGTCCTCCGCGAAGCGGACCCTCCTCGGGCCGCGTCTCTCCGCGCCGGCCCCTGCGGCGCTGGCGGCGGCGCGCGGCGTCCCGGGCTCCCGCGGCCGCGGCTCCGGCTCCTCCTCCTCCTCCGAGGGCTCCTCGCTCGTCCCCGCCGCCCCGCGCTCGGAGCCGCTGTCCAGGTCGCTGTCGGGGGGCGTCGGGCCGGCGCCCTCGTCCTCGTCCTCGTCCTCGTCCTCGCCGCTGCCGGCGCCCAGGCCCGCGCCCCGCACGGCGCCCAGCGCGCCCAGCACGTAGCCGAGCCCGTCGCGGGCGAAGCCCGGCGGCACCGCGTCCCCAGGCCCGCCCCGGGCGCGCGCGCGGAGGCCGAGGCAGCGCTCCAGCCGGCGGATCTCGCGGTCCTCCTCCTCGTTGGCCGCCAGCAGCGCCCGTCTGCGCGCGGCGGCGGCGCCGGGGCCGGGCTCGGGGCCGGCGGGCTCGGGCCCCGCGGGGTGCGGCCGCCGTCGCGCCCTCCTCAGGCGCCGCTTCTCCCGCCTCAGCTCCCGGCGGCCTCGCCTCCCGCCCGGGCCGCGGCCCCCCGCGCGCGCCCCCGCCCCCGCCCCGCCGCCGGGGGTGCGGGCCTCGCGGGCGGCCTGCACGAAGTCCTCCACCGCCAGCCGCAGCCGCCGCAGGGGCCCCTCCCCGCCGCCGCCCCCGCGCTTCCCGCGCGGCCCGCGGCCCCCGCCGCCTCCCCGGGCCGGCGCCGCCGCGCGCGCGGACGCCGCCATCTTGGGGCTGCGCCGGCGCCCGACTTCCGGGGCGGGACTTCCGGACGGAACTTCCGGGCGGTTGGGGCGGGCGCCCCCTGGCGGCCGGAGGACGCGGCGCGGGCCCGCGGCGGACCCCGCCACGGCGGGACGCGGGGACCCCGCCAAGCCCGCGGGGGCCCCGGCGCCGCGCTCCGTGCGATCGTGTTCCTCGTGCGCAGCGGCCTCTCCCGCTGGCTCGCGCCTCGGATCTGTCCACTTCGGAGCAGCGGCCCGGGCGCGGCGCGAAGGGGCGGCCGCCGGTCGGCCCGGCCTCGGGGGTGGGGGGGCGCGGGCGGGGGGCCCGGCCTCGGGGGGCGCGGGCGGGGCCCAGCGGACGGAGGCCTCACGGCCCGCGGGTGGGGCGACGGCTCGCCGAGCCCCGCGAGCGGACTCCGCGGCCAGGGGCGCCTGGCCCCCCGCCGCGCCCCGACGGCCCGCGCCCCCGCCGCCCGGGAGCCCCCAGCCCGCGTCGCCGGCGCCGGCCTTGCCCCCGGGCGGGAGGCCCTGCCCCGCCCCCGTGGCGGCTCCGGTCTCCGGGCCCGCTGGGCCCGCCGCTCCAGCCCCGCCTTCCCGGTGAGGCCGCCGAGAAGTCCGGCCCGCCCCACGGGTGAGAGCCCCGACGGCGCCGCTGAGCGTCTGTCCCGTGGCCGAGCCGTGTCGCCGCCCGCGGTGGGTCTCCCGCCCTCCCCGCCCTCCCCGGGGCGCACTGCCCGGCCTGCCTCAGCGGCCTCCTGCCCCCAGTCTTTCTCTCTGCTCTTCATCTCAGACTTGGGGCCTCCCTGGGGCGCGGGGGTTTAGTCCCAGAAGCTGCCCGCAGCCTCCGCAGCGCGAGTTCATTTCCCAGCCGGCCAGGGAGCTGCCCACAGGGTGCGGCAGACCCTCCCGCCTCCACGCTGCCCCCTCGGCAGTGGGTCTCAGTGGGTTCACCTGTTCTGCTCCTCGCTCCGGCTCTGGGGAGGCCTCGCACCCCGCCCCCCCAGCCGCAGCTCTGGCCTGCACCCCTTCTCTTTTATGCACAAATAAAGAAATCTTTAAAAAAAAGGTAAAAGCAAAATTTCTAACCAGCTTTTGTCCATGAAAAATCCCGTTGAGTTTTAAAGTTGAATTTGTATTTAATTTATAGATTAAATTAGAACGAAAACTGGATATTTATGGCATCAAGTCTTCCTATCCAAGAACAGAACATCCCTTCTATTCACCAAATTTTCTTTTCCATTTTCTTTTTTTAAGATTATTCGTGCATACAAGAGAAGGGGTGCTGGACAGAGGTGTGGGGAATGGGGTGAGAGGACTCCCCAGAGACAGAGTGGGGAGCAGAACAGGCAGACAGACTGAAACCCACTGCTGAGGGGAGCAGTGGGGAGACAGGAGAGGTCTGCTGCGCCGTGTAGGTAGCTCCCTGGCCAAAGATCAAACTCGTGCTGCAGAGGCTGCCGACAGCTTCATAGGTTGCATCTTAACCCCTGCACCACCAGGGAGGCCCTCCATTTTCTTATATGGGTGGTCCACACTTCTCACTGACTATACCCTCATTCCATTTTCCTTTTATCAGACATGACTTTAATATATCTTTCACCCTTTTGCATCTGAATTTGGGGGCCATGGTCTATTTGGATATCAACCTGGGGCTGGCTCTCCTGGGGGGCAGACTGACCTGGGGCCTAGCTGCTCAGCTGGGAATGAGCATTTCCAAGGCTGAAGGCGTGAGGTGTGTGTATGCACTGAGGGGAGGAAGTGTCTCCCCGCTGTAGCCTCCATCTGGGGTGCTGGGGGGGGTAGGAAGGGGCAGGAGGAAGGGGTGGGAGTCAGCCCACTCTGCTTTCCTGAGCTGCCTCCTCCTGGCTGCTCCCAAGCACAGGGCTCGGGTCCCCGTCGGGGTCCCCCGTGGGCCCTGAGCCCCTCACTGCTGCCGGGGCTGGAAGCCAGTGCTGGCAGGAGGTGTTGGCAGTTCTTCCAAACCCTGGGTAGCTCTGCCCACTCCCAGGCTTCAGGCCTGTTGCAGTCCCAGTCCGGGTGGCGGGGGTGACGGCTGCGCAGATGGAATGGGCTGCAGGCTGCAGAGGCCACGGCGAGCACCAGGGCCGGTGCCGGGGTGTGCGCTGGCTGCGCGGGTGTGTGTGTGTGTGCTGGCGTGTGCACATGTGTCTACGCACAGGCGAGAGCGTTCACGCCTGGGTGTGGGCACATCAGATACTTGTAGAGGGGAGCATGGTGGGGGGCATTTTGCCCCGTCCTGCTTTTATTCTGGGGGCAGAAGGTAGCCCTGGCCATGTCTTAGGTGGAGAAGTGGGTGAGAGGGGCGGCTGCTCTGGAGATGCCCTGCTCTCCAGGACTGATGCGGGGTCAGAGCTACCGGGCAGACAGAGGCTTCTGCAGCAGACACTTGTCCCCCGGCTGGAAAAAATTGCCGGCTGGGGCTTTGCCTGACAGTTCCTTAAAAATAATAGTGTGGGAGATGTACGGAGAGCAACCCAGCACACAATTTAAAGCCGGCCTTGGACCCTGGGCTTCTGCCTGACTGCAGCAGCCGCGCTGGGCGGGCGGGGGCTCCGTCGCTTGGGCCGCGGCGGGGGCTGGGGCAGCCTCGGGCCACGGTCGCTGCCTTCTCGCTGATACAAAAACAGGTCCTGGTGTGAAATAATCCCTGCTCACGGGAACACGAGAGCCGCCCGGTGCTCCCGTCCAGAGCATGAGTGGGTGCGGCGCGGGCTTGCTGGCCGCGGGGCCCTCTCGCCGTGGCCTTCTGTGCTCTTTGCTGCGGGCGTCGCGGCCGCAGTGTCGTGTTCTTGTGGGCAGGCGCGCCAAGTTGCGCCGCGAGCTGGCATGGAGGGCGCGGCCCTGCGGGTGTTCCCGTCTGCTGGGCCTTGGGCGGCTGACCGGCTGCTGCTCAGACCCTTTGGGGCAGGATGGGACGGAGCAGGTTTCTATGATCGGAGTAGACGGGTTAAGGAGAGTCCGGGAGCCCTGGGTGGCTTTCTCAGGCTTTTATTGAGCTTTTACATGTAGTGCAGCAACCAGGCACATGGCAGGCAGGGATGCCGGGGGGCCAGGAGGCCGGCAGGCCCCCAAGCCCCCGGCAAGTCTTCACTCTGGGTTCCCTGGCCTTCTCTCGCCCTTTCTCTCTCCTGTTCTTTCTTTCTTTTTTTTTTTTTAAACTATTTTTTTTAAAGATTTATTTTTATTTTTTTATTTATTTATACAAGCACTGGGTACAGTCAGAAGCGCAGGGGGGTGAGAGAATTCACCAGAGCCAGAGCGGGGAGCAGAGCAGGCACATTGACGATGTACACTGCCGAGGGGAGCAGCGGGCGGCAGGAGAGGTCTGCGCGCCATGTGGGACCCTCACCGGCGGCCGGGGATCCAACCAGCACTACAGAGCTGCGGGCAGCTTCGCAGCCCAGCGCTTAACCGCTGCGCCACCAGGGGAGGCCCGAAAGTGTTTTTTTGTTATAAAACAAAAAATCTTCAGACCCTGTGGGGGTGGGCAAGCTCGAGAGAAGGTGGTCAAGAGTCTCGTGGGTGCCTCCCAGGGCCTCCACGCGCCAGGCCTGGGGCACCTGAGTGGGACCAGCCCTGGGAGCAGCCCCTGCCGCTGGGCTGGGTGGAGACCCCCAGTGCCTCCCTGCCTGGGACGACTAACCCCCCCCAGCCCAGCGGACAGGGCAGCACCGCCCCTCCCAAGTGCTCACACTGCCCCTACTCCCTGCGTGTCCCGCGTGCTGGCTGCGCCCATCACAGCCTTGCCTCAAGCTCTGCTTCTGGAAGAATCCAGCTAAGAATCCGTTAAGGAAAACCTGGCAATACTGACCCAGCAGCTGCCCGGGGCAGCCATGGAGCTCGTGCCTCCGGCTCCCAGACTCGGGCTCGGCCTCCTCCTCCCTCGCCCACACGACACACTGTTTTGGAGAACGTGGGGGAGCGTCTCCCACTCTTCCGGCCCACACAAGGGTGCAGCTGCTGGGTGGCCTGGCCCCGTCCCATGCAGCGTCCCCGAGGTGCTGCAGGTCAGCAGAGGCGTCCCTGGCGTTTCAGGAGAGCCCGGCTCCCGCTGGCCGCCACCGGCCACTGGCCCCTCGCCGTCCCCACCCCTCCCAGCCACTGCCTGACCCGCACAACCTCTGTGTGGAAACCGGCCCAGGTTCCTCTTCCCAATTCTCCTCCCTTGCCCCGCGCGGCCGAGCCACCATGACCCCTAAGGTCCGCCTTTTCTCGCGTGCGAGGACCCTTTCCTGGGGTTTCCACGAAGGCCTTTAGGGAGACGCCTGCTGGCTGGACAGCAGGACAGTGACCAGAGTGGACATTTGCCCAGGGACAGAGGTGGGAATCCCGTCCCGCTGGCCGAGTCTGGATCGGGTGCTCAGGAACCGCGGGCTTCTGCGAACCAGCACTGTGCCCTTCCCCAGCGTCCCTTCAGTTCTTGGGGGACTCGGTGGGTCCCTTGCAAAATTCTTTACCAGTCTCACTAATGTGAGCCAAGGGCATTTCAGCACAGGTGACTCTGGGGAGAGCTCTGTCCAGACGAGACGGCCGGCCCGGCCAGCGTTTGCCCTGACCTCTGCTCTGAGGCATCCCTGGACTCGGGCCGCAGGGGCCAGGCGTGCAGGGAGGACTCGGACACCATCCTGGCTTTGCGGGGGCAGGCCCAGGCCCCACCCCCAGAGGGAGGAGCTGCCGCTGTGTCTGCCCGCAGGGGCTCACCCTTCCCAGGAGCGCGCTGCCCGCGGGGCCGGCCCCACTGGAGAACAGGCCCGGAGGCCCAGGGTCACCCACACCTAAAGCGGGCCCCAGGCCGAGGGTCAAGATCAGCTCAGGACAGGTGTGGCTTCCTTAGTCCACAGACTCGGCCCCCCATCGGCCGTGAGCGCGCTGGTCAGTGCACACAGAGGCGGGAGGTCCCAGAGTCCACTGCCGGGCCCTCCTCGCACGACCCAAAGCTCCCGGCGCCTCCTGGCTTTTACCTGAGGAGCAGCGGGAGTCGGGAAGATGTTACCTGAGCCCCGAGGAGAATCGAGTCAGGTGGACACGGCGGGTTCCTGGTCCTTTTACCCATTTTTCAGACCTGAGACAGGTGGAGAGCTCTGAGTGCGAGGCTGGCCCTTGGTGGAAGGGCCTGTGTCCCTGGACAGCTGCGTGGTTCAGACAGTGAAGCCGCGACCTCTGCGTCCAGCAGACCCTGCCGGAGCCCGCCTGCGTGAGTGCCGGGGGTGGGGAGGGGCAAGTAAGAATGCCCAGAGGCCAGTCTCTGGGGCCTGACAGGGTGGGGGCGGAGGTGCTGGGGTGCTGGGGCTGGACGTGGCCATGGCAGCGGGAGTGAGTCCCTCAGCTCCCGGCCTGTGTCTCTGGCAAGGCGGGTGGGGCCTCACCCAGCTGGGAGGGCCCCTCTTGGGGGGCAGCACAGCACAGGTAGACCTGAGGTGCATGCAAGTCAGGGCCTCTAGTGGCCGGGCCTGCCTCATTCTGGAGATGCTTGCGGGTCTCTCTGGCACCAGAATGTGGTTTCCATGGCGAGAGACAGCAAGGACAGACTGGCCAGGCCTGCTGCCTGCTGAGGGCCGCGGGCACTGGCGCTCGGCGCAGTTACCCACGAGGTCCCAGAGTGGACGTCCATCCAGACACGTCTGCGTACTGCCCTTCCTCCCTGGCAGCTGGCAACTGCTGGCTTTTGCCAAGATGAAGGTGTTTTTCTGACCCAATTCTGTGTGCCCCCAGGCTCTGTGCCTCCGAGTGAAGTCTGCAGCCTCCGCTGGGTGGGCAGGGGAGCCTGTGACCAGCTGGGGAGACGCAGCTGTACCAGGTCTTACGCTAAAAATGGGGCAAGTCTAGTTTTGTGTTTCTTGATTGATTTTCCCAAGAAGATACCTAGAAAACAAGGTTTTTACCTGGATGCCTGTGGCGTGGCTCCGGGGCTGGCAGCAGGGCTGTGTGGGGGCAGCTGGCCCTCACGCCCGCCCTGCAGCGCTCGTTTGCGGGTGGTGCGGGCCTCTGCAGCGCTTATTGATCTATTTCTGGCACAGGAATCCCTGGACAGGAACTGTCTGCGGGTGAGGTTTTACGACCTTAATATGGATCCAACGCTTTAATGCACCTTCTGCCTTTGTCATAACGTCACTGCGGAAGCCGGAGTGGCAGGAACGGCCTCCTGGCATCGAGTCGTCTCCTAATTAGGTTGAGAAGGCTGTTTGGCGCAGCCCTTCCACTGACGCTTTTGGAAAGGGTCTTAGTGGCTGGCGAGGTGGCCTCGGGGGGCGAGGGGCACAGGCGGGGGCTACTGCCGGGGAGCCGCTTCACCCACCCCAACCGCCACATGGGGTCGCCCCGGCTGGGGCCACGTTGGCCCCGGCTGAAAGCATTGAGCAGCTCACCCGCAGGGTGACGCAGGTGGCCACTGCGGGCCCCTGATAAGCCTCCCGGAGCCGTCTTTGGTGACGGAGGAGGATGCCCCGAACATATCCCTCTAGAAAGCCTCACGTGAGGTAAGTCACGTGAGGATTTATCGGTGGCCTCAGCCCTTGGCGATTGCTCCATGAATGTCATGGACCCTGGGGCGGGACGATGGCCATGCCTGAGGGTTTCTCGGGCATTTAAACAAACCTCCAGCTGTCTTGTCTTTTCTTTTCCTTTTTTTTTTTTTTTTAAAGATTTATTTATTTATGCACACAAGAGCTGGGGTGCAGGCCAGAGGTGCAGGGGTAAGAGGACTCACCAGAAGCAGAGTGGGGAGCAGAACAGGCAGAGTGACTGAAACCCACTGCTGTGGGGCGCAGCGGGGAGACAGGAGAGGTCTGCTGCGCCCTGCAGATCAGCTCCCTGGCCGGGGATCGATCTTGTGCTGCAGTGGCTGGCCATTGCTTGATAGCGCTGTCTAATCCCTGTGCCACCAGAGAGGCCCTTCAGCTGCCTTTTTGAAAGACGGCCATGGTGGCGTCTGCAGGCAGGCGGTGTGGACGGCAGTGCCTAGGTGGTCCTGCCTCCTGCGGGCTGCCCGTGGCAGCTCCATCCTTGTCAAGAAGTAGCCCAGGCGGTGCTCCCGCCGCTCATGCACCTTGCCGGGAAGCACTGCTCAGGTGTTTCCACTCGTGTTATTTTTATTGTGGTGTCCAGTTCGTCACAGTGTAGACGGAGGGTTCAGGCTTGCCCCTCTTCAGTTGTGCCATCCCTGCGCCCACCACCCAGACCCCCACTGTCAGCGCCCCCTCAGCCCGTCCTCCTACTGGACACCTGAGTGGCCTGGAGTGCCTGAGCCTGCCCACCCCCCCCCCGGCGTCCTCCACAGCTCTTTGGCCTCAGGCTCACCCCAAGTTGGTGCCCATGGCACCGGCCCCCCAGCTGTGGGACAACGGCTGGCAGGGCCTATGGGCTGGGTAGCTTGGCCTCCGGAGCCTTGGTCGAAGCCGTGGGGCCAGGGCTGCCCATGCCGTGGGTGAGGGCAGATGGCTCGGCCTGTGGGTGCGGAAACTGCCCCGGACGCAGGCGCGGCCCGCGGTGCAGCCGTGCCCGCGTTACTAGAAGAGGCGCTGGGGAGACCTGCCGGCCAGGGCTGGTGGCGGTAAATCACCGCGGCAGTGATATCAGCCGGCCGGGCCCGTGGCCGCCTGGGCTCACCCGGCGCCTCCCCCGGCCCGTATTTTATTTCTGCTCAGGTCACACTCGTCAGTTGGCCGCGAGCAATGGAGCTTATTTATCTGATTAGTTTACTTTGGTCAGCAGTGAATTGTGACAGGATTATAATAATTTCTGCGTTTGGATACATCTCATCATCACATGCAAGCTTGTCATTTTGAAATGTGGCCGCAACGCTGCGTAAATATTAACACTGCCACGCTCGTCCCCCCGCTTTCTCCAGCGGTAGTTGAAGGACTGTCTGGGTTCTATTTTTTTGGTCCCAATCTCTCCTGTTTGGGGTCTATTTTTGACATTTCCACTCTGTGCAGACACAGACGCTGCAGGTGACATGCCCGTGAGTTCTAAAGCCCCCAAATAAAGGCGTGTGGGGATGCGGAGGCCGGAGCCGGCAGGACGGTGGTTCCCGCCCCAAGTGCGTTTTCAGTGTCTGCAGGATTCGCCGCGAGGAGAGGCCGAGGAACCCAAGCGAGTGCCTCGCCTGTCCTCTTGCTCCGGAGCCCTCGCCGGCCCCCATCCCAGCAGCCCCTTTCCCTGGAGGTGCGGGTCCGCACACGCCTGCCCTCACTGTCCCCGGCTTAGAGCTGGTCTGTGCGTTGCGGTTCAGAGCTGGATTTCTGCCACGGGCTCTCGCTGTGAGAACAGCGTGAACCCGTCCAGGACCAGGCCGCCTGGAGGCAGCTCAAGGGAGCTGGATGCCACGTCTGGGGAGCAGGGCCTGGCGGGGTGTTAGCGGCTGGCACGAGCTTAGTTGTGATGCCCATTGAGCAGAGGCTCCAGGGCGGCGCCTGGAGGCCCGGTGGTTCTTCCTGACCTGTCACCAACGCTTTCTGATGAGTGTTGTGGTTTTTAGGTCTGTGCAAATGCCCGGTTCTCCCCTCCAGGAACCACCGCCGAAGGCCCACAGGTGGGCCAGACACATGACGCATGGCCACACCCAGGGCCCCTGTCCCCGAGGCTGCACGGCCCAGGCTGTCGTCTCCGACTCTCCCTCTGGGGCTCGCCTCCCCACTCCCCTGTAGGCTGCTCCCACTGCAAGCCACGGCCTTCCAAGGAGTTGGCTGTTGATGTTGCTATTTATCCCGGAGAGGGGGCTCCTGCCCCTTGATTTCCAGCCCGCCCCTCCCCACTGTCCTCGTCCACAGCAAACCAAAGCATGTCTTGCTTTCTGTTATAGACAGGTGTGCACACACGGTGGGGCCGCACGGTGAGGCTGTGCGGGGAGTGCACAGTGGGCGTGCACGGGTCTAGCCAGGCTCGTGTGTCTGTACCCCCACCTCTGCCTCTCCCCCTGGTGTCCCGTGCAGAAGGCTCCAGTGGCACCTGGTCACACAGGCAGCTCATGGTGTCACAGGCAGGCCATTTCGCAGCCTGTTTTTTAAAAAGATTTATTTATTTATACATACGAGAACTGGGGGTGCAGGCCAGAGGTGCGGGACGTGAGAGGACTCACCAGAGACAGAGTGGGGAGCAGAACAGGCAGATCTACTGCTGAGGAAGCAGCGGGGAGACAGAAGAGGTCTGCTGCGCCCTGTGGATCAGCTCCCTGCCTGGGGATCGCACTCGAGCTGCAGTGGCTGTGCACGGCTTCTCAGTGCTGAGACTAACCCCTGCGCCCCCAGGGAGGCCCCCAGTCGTTTTGTTTTTTGAGGTGACACACGCAGTGCAGAACTCACCGTCTTCGCCGCTCTGCAGGGCACAGCTCCATGGCGTCGTGTCCACTCACGGTGGCGCGGCCACCACCACCGTCCCCACCACTGCTTCGGCTTCCCATACTCAGCTCTGTCCCCACTGACCCTCCCGTCCCAGCCCTGCCCCCATCTGTGAGTGGACCGGCCACCTCTGAGGCCGAGTGAAAGGGCCTGGAAAGAAGAAAGTGAGCGGACATGTCTTCCTCAGGCCCAGCAGCCTGTCGGGACACGGGAGGACACGTGCGGCCAGGCCGGGTCCCTGCACAGGCCCCTGCTGGGTCTCCGCTGCGAACGGGCGGTGGGCTCACTGCAAATGAGGGCGCCGGCCCCTGGACCAGCAGAGTGGGGCCCGGCTCTCCCCGACCGCCTGCGCCTGGCCCCCGCAGTTCCTCCACGCCCACCTTCCTGGAGGTGGGACTCCCGGGCAGTTTGCCTGGCCCCCGGCGGACGGCCCCTGGCGGGCAGGTGACTGAGAGAGGGCCAGGCTGATGACTGCTGCTCGCCCCTTCTGGGAAGGAGGAACATGGGTGGTGAGGGCCCCGGAGCGGCGGCCTGGGCCCCGGCATGTCCCTGAGCTCCTGGAGCCTCGCCCAGCACAGACATGTTTATTCTGCTAACGAGTCGGGGTGGGGGCGAGGGGGGTCTACAGTGCAGGACCTTGTGCTTTACCAGCGAGCAGGCTGGTCACTCACAGGGCCAGGGAGCTGCCCCCTCCCGTCCACTGTTCATCATCCTCCCGTGCCTGGGAGGAAGTCCCTGCGTTTGAGTTTAACTAAGAGAACAATCATGATTTTGAATAAAACATATCTCTGCTGATTTTGAGATTAACCTCCGTTGTCCCCGACACTGAGGTGCTCCCGGGCTAGTCCTCCGGGAGGAGCGGTGTCCTGGCTGCCCGGCGGCGCTGCCCGGCCCCCCGAGACGAGCCAACGGAACTCCACGCCATGCCGCGCTTTTATTCACATGCTTTGTCTTATAGTCGTTGTTCAAACGGCAGGTTACTCCCCCCGACGCAGCGGCCGTGCACGAAGGGCTGAGTCTCGGTGGAGGAAGGCGTCTGGCGTCCAGTCCCTGGCGTGGGGCTGTGGCCCTGGCGGGCGGCTCCCTGAGGGATTCACGAAGTCTCCCCCTTGGAGGGCACTGGGTGGGCAGCAAGGCCTCAGCCTCTGGCTTTTAAAGCAAACGAGTGAGGGGCTGCGATGCGACCCTGTGGAAGTCCGGGGCAGGACCGGCTTCCTGTGGGCGCCAAAGCCGAGGAGCCCCTGAGGTGCGGCTGCTCGGCGCCTCCTGCGGGGAGTGGGAGCAAACCGGGCTCCCCAAACCCGCAGAGCACACCCTCCCTTCTGCGGCAAGACCGGGAGGAAGAGGCGAGCCGTGGGCACCGGCCGAGGGCCTGGCCTGCAGGAAAGCGCAGCGGCGGGGGCTGGGCCTGCAGGGCCTGAAGGGCCTGCCCGGACGCCTGGACCGAGAGGCGGCGTGGGCCCCAGGAGGGGGACGGTGCCCGCTTGTGGCACCCAGTGGTGGGTTGTGGAGCGGAAACGGCGACTCTCGGGCGAGTAGATGGCGCAGACACGGCCCTGTTCAGCGTGCCCACGTCGGGCAGTTGCTGGCCGCATGGCTGACCGCGGGCCCTGGCAGGGGCGCAGCAGGAGGGGCGCCGGCCAGCGCAAGGCCTTCTCTCGAAGGGCTGCCGCTGCCTCTGCCGGACGCCCCGGCCCCCATCCTTGGCCCCCCACATCCCTGGGCCCCCACACCCCTGGACAGACAGGCCGGGGAGCCCCTGACCCGCGGGCCCCGCACGTCCAGGCCCAGTGCCCAGGGCTCGGCAGTGCCGCCAGCCGCGTGTCCCTGCAGAAAGCAAATGGCGACTAAGCCAGCGGAGACGGCGCGGTTTCCATAATGCGAGGAATTAGCGCTTGGAGAGGCCAAAAACAGGGCTGCGACAATATTTTCACAAATCAGCAGTTTTCGCAGCACCCACAATAAGCATTTATCAAGACGGCGGCGGCTGTGGAAACACCTCCACGGCTCGAGGAGCGGCGCCCGCGTCCGTCACGCAGGCCGTGCCCCCGCCCGCAGGCTCCTGCCAGCATCGCCGCCCGGCTGGATTGATGGGGCACAGGGCGGGGCGGGGGGCGGCGGGAGGCATCCCTGATGGCAAATGGAAGATTCACCAGACACTGGAAATCGGAAGTACTTCTGAAAACCCCGCTTTCACTTGAAAGGGCTATAAATCTAAAAATAATCTTGAATTCACAAGCAATCCTTTTATGCAATAAGTTGATAGCAAATATATTACCGAAGAGACACATAATTACCTTAAAATCTTCCACGGTTTGAAATGTATTGGAGCCCTTAAATTATAATTTATTTTTAAAATAGTGAAACCTGTAACAAATATTTTTACTATTAACTTTTTTCTTCGAGTTTCATCTTTGATCCTTAAAAATGTGAAAACAACGTAGAGCCATTTATAAATGAATAGCCCACAAAGCTCCAGCACTTTCTAAAGACATAAAAAGCTGATTCTGATGTACAGAGGAAGGGAAATTTTATCATCCCTTTCGGGAAGTGGACCCAGCAACCTCGAATGTTCCAACCGGGCAGAGATCATTTCTACACCACCGATTCCCTTCAACCACACCTTCTATGCGCCCAAAGGCGCAGCCAGGCGCTGAGACCCTGCACCCGGGCTCTCTAGCCACATTTTGGAGTTTTAATTGGGCAGCTCGAAGGGCCCCCTCCAATTCACCCCCGCATCAGCAAACGTCACCCAATCTATGTCCATAGTCATGTCCCCGCCTCACACCCGGATGAGGCCGCGGAGGCCCGGGCTGGCCCTGCTCCGATGGGGCTGAGTTCGCTGGTGTGCGCGGGGCTGGCTGCCCGGGTTCCTGGCCACGTAGGGGCTCCTGGCTGCTGACCCACCTAGTGGGTTGTCGTGGGTTCTGGTCATGCTCACAGAGCTCAAAGGCTACTGTGGGCCACAAAGAAGCAACACCTCACTCCAGATAAACGTTTTGCTTGCGTGGGAATCTGTGGGGAGTCCAGTCTCAGCCTCAGTTTCCTTTTCAGTAGCTTAGTTGGTTGAGTCCCTGAAGACTTGCCCTGAAACTGTTCTCAGTCTAAGTAAGTGCACGATTCAGGAAAAGGTGAGTGTAAAGGAAGTAGGAGAAAGAGCCTCACCTTTGGCCCCACGTATGCTGGTTCTTGCATTCCTGACAGCCTCCCAGCTCAGGCTCCAGCCTGGGAGCAGCTGGGCTGGGCCAGCGGCCACTGCAGCAGGCTGCCTGCTGGGTACGGCTCCCGGGCCGCTGCTGCCCTCTAGCGCTGGCCACGGGGAGTGTGGGTGGCGGTAGGGACCCTCCTCCCAGTGCCATCACTGGTAAGGACAGGGGACCCCTAGAATTGGGTGGGGGGCTGGCTGAGGCCTCAGGGCCCAGAGAGTCTCTGGGCTCCGCAGGCCAGGCCCAGGCGCCCCCAGCAGACCAGTTCGGTCTTTCAACTTGAGGGGACACTCTACCGGACAGTGCTGCGGAGCTGGGGCTTCATCTGCCGCAGGAAGAGCCTTGAGGATCTGCTCACCAGCCGCAGAGCTGGCGCCTGCTCCTGGAGCGCATGGCTGGAAGCGGAGGCCGGGCATGCCTTCCTCTCGCGGAGGTGAGTGGCAAATCCACACAGCAGCTGGCGCACTTTAGGATCTATCGAGCTGGCTGACTTCTTCCATCACTTACTGGTCTTCTCTATGTCCCTTGGGTCTCATTTAAAAAATACACACTCAGTACTCTGCACATGCGTGAGAACACACACACTCACACACATCCTAGTCTCCTGTCAGCTGCTTCTCTACAGAGCCCCTGGCCCACGGCTCCTGGCTCGGGCGGGGCTTCCCTTGGCGGGCAGGCCTGAGTGCACTGCAGGCCCGAGTGCACCCAGCTCCGAGCCTCACGAGTGCTGGGGGCGGGGGGTTAGGGCAGAACCTCTCTCTTAGCACCTGGGACTTGTGCCAAGTGTCCTGCGCAGTGATGCAGGGCCTGGGGTGCCTTCAGGGCCCCCATGGGGTGACTCACTGGGGTGATAGCCCAGTGGCACTGAGCAAGGGACAGGTGTCACCGGGCTAGGAGGTGCTAGGCTGGGATGTGGGTGTAGAAACTAGGGCAGGCCACTGCCTCCTGCACCTCCATGGCTTGGGGTGAAACTGTGGCCACACCTGGTGGCCGGGTTATTGGGCAGGTCGAGTCACAAAAAGACGCGCAGTGCCGACGTCGTGGTTGTTTGGCAGAACCACGTCCCCACTGGCCGTGCAGTTGTTGGTCCAGCAAAGCCCTGGGGGGCTGCTCATGTGGGCGAGAACAGGGCACGGGACATGCTCGGACGGCCACATCCCCAGCTGCTGTGGGCCAAGGAGAGCACTTGCGGAAGCCTGGAGAGCTGGGGGGCGGGTGGTTTCAGGGCAGCCAATACTGACCACTGCCTGTCAGGTCCTGCTTCACTCGGGCCTGCTGGTAGGTGTGCGGGAGCTCACGGCAAAGAAGATGCGGGGAGACACCCTGGGCCATAGGGAGCCTGTCCCAAGAGTGGACAGCCAGCCGGGCACGCGCAGATGCCGGGCACGCGCAGATGCCGGGCACGTGCAGAAACGCGCGCTGCCTCCAAGGCTGAGGACGTGGCTGGAGAGCGGCTGACGGGCGGGGGAGACTGTCACTCCTGTAAGAGTCCTCATGCCTGGCGGCATGCCCCGAGGCCAGAGCAGAAGCAGGTGTCGTCCTGCCATGCCATGTTTTGGGGTGAAGGAGTGAATGGGAGACCAAAACCGCCAGGGAAGGCCACGGGGAAGGCTTGGGAGCAAGCGGCGCTGGAGGGTGAGCCAGAGTGTGAGGCGCAGGGGCGGGGAGAGGCGCAGGGCCTGTCCTCCCGGTTGGGACGGCGGAGGAGGCCAGGTGGTGGGAAGGGGCTCTTTCGGGAGAGAAAGGGGGGCTGGTTGGAAGGGAGGGCGGCTCCAAAGCCAAGGTGTTAAGCGTCCAGGGGAGCTTGACTTTGCCCTACAGCCAGTGAGAATGGCTGCCGGGCAGGGCTGCGCGCTGGGCAGAAAGCCTGTGTTTTGGAAGCTTCATGTTTTGGAGGGACGCAGGAATGGCGGTACTGGCTGGGGTGACGGAGATGACGGGGCCCCCATGTCCAGTGTGGCCGCGTTTTCCTGCAGGTGACCGTCAAGGGCCTGGGGCTATAGGCAGGGTGAGCCCTCGTGTGCGAGCACTTTCCAGCAGCCTCCTGCTTTCTCAGCCCCTTTGGCCACAGCAAGACACCTGCCCAGATTCCACGGGTGGAAAGAGACTCCATGTCTATTTGGAGGGAGGGCACAGCCATGGACAAAGGAGGGGTAAGTCTGTGGCCATGACACGGGTTCCAGTTGGGAACCAGAGTCAGCCAGAGGCGGTCAGTGCAAGGGCAGATGGCCCACTGCATACATCTGCATGAGAGAAGCGAAAAGCTGGTGGCCACCGGTGTCACTTTCTAAATACGGGTCTGAACGCACCCCTCGGATCTGGAGAGATTAGCCCATAGCTGCTGCGGGACAGCTCAGGCAGGAGTTTAGCCCAGCACGAGAACGTGGGTGTCCCCAGCAGCAGGCTCGGGTGCTTCTTGTCCCGGTTCTGTAGGGCTGCAAGACACCCCGCAGCAAAGGTGAGCATGGCCCACTGGGAGTGGGTCCTGGTTTCTTATCAGCTGCTGGCAGCAGGCTCTGGCCCAGAGCCCTCCAGAGCACGCCCAGCGTGTCCTGGTGCATGCATGGGAGGCACCGCACTGGGGGCCAGCAAGTGTTTCACGGGCTATTAAAAAAAGGCAGAGTGGTGGAAAAAAGGCTAACTTAAGCCCACAGATTCTAGATGAACATGTGTCATAAAAATCATTTGAAAGCAATCTGTGGATTTTTCGCCTCTTAAGAATTTTCAGAGATGCCAAAAAATTAGAATCAATAGTAATTCAATGACTTCCTTTTAGCTAAATAAATGCAAATGCCCGTTCACAGTGGACTGTACAGCAAAAGAGAAAAAAGAACGGGGGTGAATTGTTTGCGCATTTGTGGCACCCCATATGGACGAGCGGGGCGGGTCCTCCGAGGGACACGGGGGCGCCCGGCGCGGGCAGCGCAGAGGCCATCTGGGCTCGCCGGCGAGCGCGGGGTGCTGGGCGGGGGCTGCTCACGCAGGAGCCGAAAGTCATGAGTTCCTGGGGCGAGCGCGGGCGGGAGACCGCGGCCAGCGGACGTCGAGGTTATTTCCCTGACCCAGGAGGCAGGACGCCCTCCTGCAGGCCCCGCCCCTACAGGCCCCGCCCCCGCGACGAACCCCTTCTGCAGACCCCGCCCCCACAGGCCCCGCCCACGTCCCCGCCCCCGCGGCCCCGCCCACCGCCCCTCCCTCCCCGTCCCCCAGGCGCCGCGGCGCGCGGCGCGACGCTCGGCGCCTCTGTCTGACGTCACGCCGCCCGCGCCCGGCCCTCCACAGCGCGAGCGGCTGCGCCCCAGGCGGCGGCCGAGCGGCGCGGGGTCTCGGTCGCGGCCTCTGCTGCGCCCGGGCGGCGGGCGGCCGGCGGGCGATGGTGCGGCGGGGCGCGCGGACGCGGGCGGCGCGGCGGCGGGCATGAAGGAGGATGGACGGGCAGGACGAGGTGTCGGCGCGGGAGCAGCACTTCCACAGCCAAGTGCGGGAGACCACGGTGAGGCGGCGGCGGCCCCGTCCGCCCGCGACCCGCCCGCCGACCCCGTCCCGCGCCCGCCCCCCCCCCGCCCCCGTCCGCGGCCCCCCCGGCCCGGGCCCCGGGTCCGCCGCTCCCCGCCGGCCGCGGCCCCTGCGCGCCCCTTTCTCCGCTCCCGCCGCCGGGCCCGGCCCTGTGTCCGCTCCTCTCCGCCCTCTGACCGCTCCCGCGCCCCCCCCTGCGCGGCTCCCCGCGCCCCCCTCCCTGCGCCCCCCCCGCTTCCTTCTGTCCCCCCAGTCCCGCCGCGGCTTCCCCTGTGCCCCGCGGCGTTTCTGCCCCCGCGCGGGTTGCTGCGGTGCCGCCCGCGCCCTCCTTCCCCTGCCCCGCGGCGCCCCCAGGTGCTGGCCGGCCGCCCCTCGAGGGCGCAGGGGCCGCAGCCCCCCGTCTGCACTCCCGAGCGGCCCCGCGCACCTCTCCGGTGCGACCGCAGCGCGCCAGGAGGCAGCCTCCGAGGAAGCCGCCGCGCGGTCGCGCTCGGCCGGCCGCCTCCGGCCACCTGCCCTGGAAAAGCCACCTGGTGCCCTGACCTTGGCGCGCTGGCCGCCGCTTGTGCTTGTGTTCACACCTGTCACGTGCGCCGCTTTCCTGCCGTCCTCGTTGCCCTTTCGCCCGGGCTGCGCGCGGACCAGATGTGTGGACTTCCAGCCCGGAGACGCGAGCCCCGCGCTGCCCTTGCCGGGGAGTCGCCGGCGGAACGCCGCCGGGGCGGCCTCGTGGCGTGTCCACCCTGGCGTCCCCCGCCGGAGCAGCGGTGCTTGGTGGCCAGCCCGGGGCTTTCCGCGGAGGCCCACGCTGCCTGCCCAGTTGCAGGGAACGCAGGACAACCCGCGCCCCCATCCTCCTCTGGGGGAGCTGGGTGGCCTCAGGGGGCTGGGACAAGCCCTGGAGGGCGCCCGCAGCGCTTGGGCGGAGTGAGTCTTCTGCCTGAGCGGCCCCCACCGCGGGGTCGCCCCTCCGCCGCCGCAGCACACCTTTGTTTTACTGTGGATGGCCCAGCCGCGCCGGGTTTGGGCTGACCAGTCCTGTCTCTTGTGGCCGTGTGTGTCCCCCGCCTGTCAGGGGCGGGCCCAGGACGGAGGCCAGGCTACAGGGTGTGGCTTGTGTGCAGCCAGCGGGCCTGCGCTTTTGGGGTGCTGCCCGGCCACTCCCGGCTGTGAGCCCCTGTGCAGCGGGGCCTGGGGTCCCTTCTCCTGTGACGCTTGTCATTGCGGAATCTTGTGAAATGTCTGCAGGCCTTTTCCCACGTAATGCTGACTTACAAGAGTTCTTTATTCCGAGCGGGGTACCCTGGCTGCGGTATGTGTATGCACGTGTGTGCCCCCCCGGGTGCCTTTTTACTCACTTGATATCTTCTCATGAGCAGAAATTCCCAGTATTAAAAAGTAGCCAAGTTTATCAATTCTTTTCGTCATCAGCTGTTCTGGTGACCTATTTTAAGACGCCTTTACTTACTCCGCGGCTGGGGGACGTTCTTTTGCTTTTTCTGAAGCCGAGTGTCTTACTGATTTGCTCTCCCCTTCCCTCGGCGGTCATGTGGCGTTCTGGGCGCCCGGAGGTGGCAGTCATGTTTTCCGGGTGCGTGGCGGCTCCCTTCAGCACCGCCTGCGCCTGAGCCCCTGGCTGAGCTGATTCACGGCCCCCCGTTGCTGGGATTGAGGGGTACCTGCCCCCCGGAAGGAGCGCAGGGTTCCTCTCAGTGTTGCCCGCCCCGCCCCCCCCGTAGCACCCCTGGGGTGCGAGTCCCCAGCCTCTGCCGCAGCAGCCCCGTTCAGGAGCAGATTTCCGGTCCTCCCTCAACACGCGTGTCCGGAGTGGCTAGACGTGCTTGGCTTTCCTCACTGCCCTCCATTCTCCTCTTCCTCCTCCTCCTCCCCGCGGTCTCTGTACCAGGCTGTGGTTTTGTTTCACTTCCTTCACTTGACACGCTGTGCAGGCCGCGCGGTCTCCCCGGCGGCCTCCCCCGGCTCCGATGTGGAAGTCAGGCCTGCGGAGGGGGCCTTCGCGCCTGGGCTTCCCTGGAGACTGTCCCGAGTCTGGTCAGCCTCCCACCTTCTTACTTTCTCGACCGCGGCACAGGTGTCCGTTTGCTGACGTCTCACGGAGAACATGGCGCCGGCTGGTGTGTCTGGCGTTGGAGGGGGCCTGGCCACCTGAGCCCACAGACGCCTGCCCTGTCTCCAGGCCTTTCCTCTGGGCTGTTGGATTTCGTCTGTGGTTCGCGCTGAAGGGCTCTGCGTCTGGTGGCGCGAGGCCCAAGTGCTTCTGTGGCCGTGTCCCCTCCTGGAGAGGCTGCCGCTGCCCCACAGAGCCTCAGTGGTGTGCACACACCGCTTCTCCTCCCGGGCCCTCCCGCCTGGCACCTGTGCCCCTTGCTGCAGCTTTGCAGGGCTGGATGTGGGGAGGCGTGACCTGCAGCTGGCGCTGGCGCCTCGGCCTGCCCCGGGCCCTGGAATTCTCATTCGAGTTGTGGTGGGCCGTGCGGTGTCGGGGGAGGCCCGGGGAATCCTGCGGGTGAGCCAGACCACGCTCGCGCCCGGGCCAGGCCGCGAGCCCATACCACGTCCCAGGCCACCTCTCACCGGGTCCCGGGAGGGAAGGCGCCCCTTAGAGTCTACGTTTTGTCCATTTGTTGACTTTTTAAGTGTTTCATTCCTTGCGGTGCTACCCCAAGTGGAATTGCTTTTTTGGCTTCAGTCTCAGATTGCACTGCTGGCCGCAGGGCGTCGGCAGTGCCCGGGATGCTGGGTGGTGGACTTTCTAAGAGCAGATCAGAGCGAATGATGAATTATTTGGTTTTATTTCCAGTGTGCAGAGGCCTATTGGGAAATCCTATTTTCTTGTAAAACCTTTTTGAGTCATTCATTCACCCACTGTTGACTCTCCCCGCTCAAGGCCTCTGAAAGGCCCGCGTCCTCATGGCACGCCTGCCCGGCGGCCCCGGGTTCTGGGAAGTGGCCGCGGACGTTCCTGCAGGCCTTCGTGTGGACATGGCTTCGTTCTCTTTGGGTAGAGCCAAGCTTGGCTGCCGGGTGGTCTCATGAGATCAGGGTTAGCTTTGGAAGAAGGTGCCAGGCCGCCTTCCAAAGTTTTCTGTGTCACTTTCACCCCCACCAGCCACGAGCTGGGTCCCCCCAGCTCCCCCAGCTCCCCGCGCAGGGCTGTCCAGCTGGGAGAGCAGGTGCCTCAGGAGGCTGGGCCCGGCCCTGACCCGCTGCGTTGTCTTCTCTGTGCTGCCTGGCGCGTCCCTGGGGAGCTGTCCAGACTGCGCCCATTTTTAAGTTGGGTTGTTTTCTTGTTTTTGAGCTTTAAAAGCTTGTCTATTTGGATCAGTCCTACGTTAGATATGTGCTTCGCCATTATTTCCTCCCAGCCTGTGGCTTGTATTTCATTCTCTTGTTAGAGTTTTTGGCAGAATAGACTTTTAAAATCATAGTGAAGTCCAATTTAACATTTTTATCTTTAATGATGTTCGTATTGTACTTGAAAAGTCATTCCCAAACTTACAGTCCCTAGGTTATCGCCCTCTACCCTTTTTAAAAGAAGCTTTATGGTTTTGTGGTTTTTTTTTTTTTTTTTTTTTTTTTTTTAGGTAAATATTTATTTATGTACACAAGCACTGGGTACAGTCAGAAGCGCGGGAGGGTGAGAGAATCCACCAGAGCCAGAGCAGAACAGGCAGACTGACGAAATACACTGTTGAGGGGAGCAGCGGGCGGCAGGAGAGGTCTGCGCGCCAGGTGGGACCCTCTCCCTGTGGCCGGGGATCGAACCGGCGCTGCAGAGGCTGCGGGCAGCTACGCAGCCCAGCACTCAACCGCTGTGCCACCAGGGGAGGCCCTGGTTTTATGTTTACATTTAAGACTTTAAGTCATTTTGTAAAAATAAGGTTTATGTCTCCATTTGTTTTCTTAAGCCAAGGAAAAAAATCAAAAGACGACTCAATTATTTACCATAGAAGAGACTGGAACTATTAAAAATAATCTATCATTTCATAAGATATTAGGACCAGAGGGGTCCAGAGCTGAGTTCTGTCACCTTTAAAAAATAGGATCTCCTAATACTATTTAAGGTAACCCATGCACATGGAGAAAAGCTCCTGATTTCATCTTATGAATAAAATCTGAATAGAAAGGGAAACTTTACAATAATCTCATTTACAGATACCAGTAAAAATGGAAGTCAGCACAGCCCAGTGAGACAGGGCATGGGTTCAGCCACGGTCAGCACGACCCGCCAGGGTCAGCGCGGCCAGGGTGGGTTAGCGCCGAGAAGGGGAACTGGCCTGTCATCTCAGCGACACAGAGGAAAGTTGATGTGCCAGCGGCTGCTGATAGTTACACACTCATTCCTACAGGAATGCTGAGCTAGATGGCAGTGATATTGACTCAAATACTTATTAAAACCAACAGAGAACATTATAATAAATGTGCAACTTAAACCACTTCCATTATTCTGAGGAAAAGGACAGGAATGCCTTGCTCTCGGCACTACCGGGCAGGCTTGTCAAGGTTGAGGGAGTTCAAGAGAATGAGAAAATTAATATTATTCCTGTAAAAGAAGAAAATGATCTCCTAACTAGTGATATGATCATTTAACTAGAAAAAAACATTCTCAGGTCATGAGGAAGTTTAGTGAAATTACTGGAAACCAGGCAGGGGTCCTCAGGTACAGGAAATTGCCTGGGAGCCTCCCCCTGGGAGTGGGGCAGCGGGTTGAGCGCAGGGCAGTGAGCCTGTCCGCAGCCTCTGCAACGTGGGTTTGATTCCTGGCCGGCCAGGGAGCTACCCACATGGCGCGGCAGACCTCTGCTGGCTCTGCTGGCTCCCCGCTCTGTCTCTCACCCTCCTGTGCCTCTGGCCTGCACCCCACTTCTTGTATGAATAAATAAGTCTTTTTTTTTTAAAGATTTATTTTTATTTATTTATACAAGCACGGGGCACAGTCAGAAGCGCGGGAGGGTGAGAGGATTCACCAGAGCCAGAGCGGGGAGCAGAGCAGGCAGAAGGACCGAGGTACACTGCTGAGGGGAGCAGCGGGCGGCAGGAGAGGTCTGCGCGCCATGGGGGACCCTCCTCCGGGGGCCGGGGAGCAGCCGGGGATCGAACCGGCACCACAGAGGCTGCCGGCAGCCTTGCAACCCAGTGCTCAACCGCTGCGCCGCTGGGGAGGCCCTGAATAAATAAATATTAAAAAAAAAAAAAGAAAGCGCCTGGGCCACAAAGTCCCTTCCCATGGGTGAGGCACCCCCTGTTCCTGAGTCACCCCGTGTTCCGGAGGCACTCCACACTCCCAAGTTAACACACACCAGTGCAGCGGCACTTAGAATGCAAGTTCAACTTGGATTCAATGAAAGTGGCCCTAAAATCACATGGAAGAATAAGTGCCTCCATTTGTGCCTTAAAAAGCCTGGGACTGGCCTGGGAAGGTATGAGAGCCGTGCTCCTGGGGGGACGCGCCCTCCCCGAGAGCAAGGGAGCTGGGCAGTCCTAACTGCTAACGTGCGAGCAGCTCCCCCCAAACAGGAACACGGCAGAGAGGAGCCCTGGGCCACAGATAAGAAATAACTTCCAGGGCTTCCCCGGTGGCGCAGTGGTTGAGCGCTGGGTTGCGAAGCTGCCCGCGGCCTCTGCAGTGCCAGTTCGATCCCCAGCCACCGGGTGAGGGTCCCACATGGCTCGCGGACCTCTCCTGCCGCCCGCTGCTCCCCTCAGCAGTGTACTTAGTCAATCTGCCTGGTCTGTTCTCTGCTCTGGCCCTGGTGAATTCTCTCACCCTCCTGCGCTTCTGACTGTACCCAGTGCTTATACAAATATATAAATAAATCTTTAAAAAAAAAAAAGAGCTAAATTAAAAAAAAAAAAATAAAATGACAATATTCTAAAAAAAAAAAAAAAAAAAAAAAAGAAATAACTTCCAGATGGCTAAGACTTACATGTTGAAAAAAAGAATAAAACAATAAAAATGCTGGCGGAGGCCCAGGGCGGGGCTCTGGCCTGCACCGAGCACCTGCCGCCAGCGACGGTGGAGGCGCGCTCAGGCGCTTTTCTTGCTGCTGCCGGGCGTGCGGCGAGCCGGTGTCGGCCAGGAGGCCGCAAGCCAGCATGGTGGGAAGAGAAGAAACAGAAGCTGTGTCTGCTCGGGAGCGGTGGCCACGTGGTCCGGCCGCCGGGGACTGTCCGGGGCAGCGGAGCGTGGGCAGGGCCTGTGCCAGGTGCGGGCTTCCTGACTTCACCCTTTACTCCCTGACGGAATTCCATTTTAGCGGTAGGGTCTTGTTTCCCTTGGACAGATGAGCAGCACTCTTAAATCTCTTAAATGCGAAGTAAGATGTAGGCAGCGTGGTGGCTGCTTGCGCCCCTGCGGCCCTGGTCCCCTCCCTCTGGGGACTCACGTGACACTGGTTTCAAGGAAAAGCAGGCTCCATGTGGGAGCGTCCCTGCAGCGTCCCCTACGCAGCGGAGACGAGCCACCCCTCCGAGGCCAGGGGTTCGGTTATCGTTGCTGCTGTGGCTGCAGAGTGGGGCGCCGCCGCAGCCGCCGGGGGGCTTAGGAACAGGAAGCATCTGCTGGTGACCCCTTTTTGGATCAATTGACAAGAAAGAAAGGCTCAGGTTGTTTGGAGGGGCCCGGAGATGACAGTAAAGAAGAGCAAAGCGACAGCGGGGGAGGCGGGGGAATATGTCCTCCCGTGCAAGCTTGCCGCTCGGGCCGGGCGCTGGGCCCACAGCTCCCACTTTGGGAAGTCAGTGTCCTCGAGGGGCGGTGCCGTGCGCCGGGAAGGTGCTCCTAGTGCCTGGGCGTGACGGGGAGAGCGGGACTCCCCGCGCAGGAGCCGGCTGAGGCTGGCGCCCGCAGAGGCCTTGCCTACATGCACGCATGTCTGTCTGACATGTTCGTTCTCAGCTTGGCCTTCTGAGGGCTGCCTTCCACGCTTTCCTTTGAAAGTGTACGTTGTTGAAAAAAATACACCAACGGATCTTTTGCATGCTTGCCTTCTCCCGTGTCTAGCGTACATTTCTTAGACTTATGGCCCTCAGCTGGGGTGACGGCGTTCCCCTGGGAGACATGTGGCGATGTCATAACTGGGGGCTGCCAGTGGGTGGAGGGCAGAGATGCTGCTAATGCCCCACAGTGCACTGGGCAACCCCGAGCAAGGCAAAGAAACTTCCAGGCTGACTGCCGAAAGAGATAAACACACACAATTTACAGTAATTCTTGTTTCTTTTTGTCAGTCGTAATGGGGAATATTAGTACTAATTTAGCTGGTGTATGGCAATAACCAAATTCCTTTCTCCTTAAAAACTTTGGTGGCATGTTAAGAGATTAAAGGCTGGATCATGTCAAACTACTTGATGTTAAACCCTCTTTCCGTGAGGATCTCACCCTGGTGGGGTTTTTTAAAAAAAGAAATTAAACTAATTTCATGACCATGTCATCCCCAAACTATATTTGATGTGAAAAGTAAAATGGTTACAAAGAAGTCCTGGCGTAATTCCCCTGAATTAAATCTCTGCAGAGATTGGTTATCAGATGGGGATGTCTAAGCAGCTGCCAGATGATGAACTGAAGGGAAGTCCCCACTGAGAATAAAGTATTAAAAAAAATGACATCGGGCCTCCCCTGGTGGCGCAGGTGGTTGAGCACCACGCTGTGAAGCTGTTCCGCAGCCTCTGCAGCGCCAGGTTGATCCCGGCCGGCCAGGGAGATAACCCACATGGCGCGGCAGACCTCTCCTGGCGTGCCTGCTGCTCCCCTCAGCAGTGTGTTTCAGTCATCCGCCTGTTCTGCTCCCCACTCTGTCTCTGGGGAATCCTCTCACCCTCCCGCGCATCTCCCTGTATCCTGGTTCTTGTATGCATGAATAAATAAATCTTTTAAAAAAATGACATCACGTATGCCATCCCCAAAAAGGGATCCCAGGCCGATCTAAGACCTAAGATAAATAAAACCTGAAAAGATGACATAGTGGCTTTTGGTTTCCTTCCCAGCATGGAATGAGCTTGGCAGTCAGCACTCCATCCTCAGGCCAGAAACAGCTGAGCAAACTGGAAACCAGCAGGTCTTAGAGCCATCAGAAGACGGAGGTCACGGGGCCAATCACTGCCCTGAAGCTGGAGCAGAGAGGCAGAGCGCAAGGGCCCACTGCCCCAGACAGGAGCCTCCAGAGCAGCAGTCTGCCCCGGCAGCTGGTGCTGGTGGGGACACCTGGCCTGTCATCAGGTAATATCTGGAGGCTTCACATGGACTAGTGGGAGAGTCAGAAACTCCAGAGGTCCAATTGCAGGGGGTACCCTTCCTCTGTCCCCGCCTTTCATGAGTTTTAGTTTCTGGAACTCAACCAGATTCTTAGGGTAAAAACAAAATTGGGGGGCCTCCCTGGTGGCACAGGGGTTAAGTCTCAGTGCTATCACCACTATGGTCAGCAGTGGATTCAGCGGATTCAGTCAGTCCACTTGTTCTGAGCCCCACTCTGTCTGTGGGAAATCCTCTCACCCCTGCACATCTGGCCTGCACTGCCCAGTTCACCCATGCAAAAAGAGAAAAAGAAAAGAAGATCAGAATGAAACCCCTTGTGCTGCTGGGGTTGGGGGGAGGGGAGGGAGGAGCATTCCGTTCACCCTGACAAAGGCCTGCCCTCCCGAGCCAACCCTCCCCACCAGAGCCAGGCTTCTGCAGCAGAGTAGGAAATTATAGCGGAAAGAGCTGTGAGGTGGTGAGTCCAGCGTTCCCCTAATACTGAAGTCAGACAAAGACATTGCTATAAAGAGAAACTACAGACGTCAAGCTCTCGCGAAGATGCATAATTCTGCAAGAAAACAGCAGAAAGTGCAGTTTAACAAGAGCACTGCGCCATGATCACATGGAGTTTACCCAAGTATGCAAGAGTGGCTCAGCATTCAAAAATCACTTCCTGCAACCTGATGGCATCCACAGGTTAAAAGCAGAAATGTGTTCTCATCGATACATGCAGAAGCAGCCCTAGACAAAATCCAAACACCCATTCAGGATGAAACTTGGTAGGCTGTGAATGGAGGGGGACCTTCCTCACCCTGACTGGGAATGTCCACAGGCGTCTCTCGCTAACCTCATGCCTCATGGTGAGAAACCGGACGCTTTCCCACTGCGATCAGGAGCCTGGCATTCCTGATGTCCCCTCCCAGCACTGCTTTGTTTTCCTTTTTCTGTCCAGTTTTTTATTGTTTGGTGGCAGAATGCCCAACAGAGAAGGTGATTGCAAACATTTGACTGTGCCAAAGAGGATGGCGCTTAAGTCAAGTGGAGGCGTGAGCCTGTTAAATAAATACTTGAGCACACTCGGGCCTACAAGCCTGGACGCTAGGTCTGCGGGGCCAGCTGCCCTGCCCCGGCCGAGACTGGGGCTTCCTCCCCGCCGGCGTCAGTGTGTGGAATCAGGTGCCAGTGGTCGTCATCACAATGAACCCTTTTCCAGAGCTTTCCACCGGCCTCTAATGCGTGATCTGGCCAGGACCACGACAACTGCACTCTGGATGGCCTGCCCCCTCCGCTCTGAAGATCTCCCTCCAGCAGTCCCAGGGGTCATGGCCGCGACGTCAGCAGCTCTGTGGCCCAACCGCATCGCCGCGCGACGCTGCGTGGTGTAGGAGCGGCGGGGGGCCGCGCTGGCCTCGGCTCTCGCCCTCAGGGCGGTCATCCGGCTCACCGCGACGCACGTGCTCCTGGGGCCGGGGCGCGTGCTCCGTCGTGCGTGCCACAGTAGACGCCCTGTAGACGGAGGTGCCCTGTAGACGGTGACGCCCTTTAGATGGTGATGCCCTGTAGACGGTGGTGACCTGTAGGTGCTGCCCTGGAGTTGGTGACGCCCTGTAGACAGAGGTGACCTGTAGGTGTTGCCCTGTAAATGGTAACGCCCTGTAGACGGTGGTGACCTGTAGGTGGTACTGCCCTGTAGATGGTGGTGCCCTGTAGATGGTGGTGCCCTGCAGACAGTGGTGCCCTGTGGGTGGTGATACCCTGTAGGTGGTGCTGCCCTGCAGCTGTGGCTGGTGCCCTGCAGATGGTGGTGCCCTGTGGTCGACGCTGGTGCCCTGCAGAGGGGTGTCGAAGCCCTGGTACAGTCCCCGGATGCTGTCGGACTTGCTGGTCTTCACCAGACAGTTGCTCAGGGCCTTGAACTCCCGCTGTGTGCCTGACTTCCCTGCACTGGCATCCAGCCGGGCCCTGGTGAAGTCCAGGGGGTAGACGAGGCAAAGGGCAGCTGACTTGCCGGCCACGCCCCTCCAGGAGTGTGCGTGCTGGTCCGCGTGCCCCCCGGGGAGCTGCCAGTGCTTATCCTTGAGGGCAAAGTTGAAGGGTCGGGTGGGGATGTCACTGATGAGGTTGACCAGGGTGCCCCGCCAGAAGGACGGGGGGTGCGCCTGCCCCTTGGGAATGCGCGCAGTGCGCTCCACGGCGCCCTCAAGCTGCATGTCGGCTGGCCTGTGTGTGCTGGCCGGCTGCCCCTGTGGCAGCAGCTTGCCCCGCTGGTTCAGGGCTGCGGCTGTCTTGGAGAGGGTGGTGGTGACGTCTGCCAGGAAGCCCTTGGCGAAGGAGACGACCCGACCTGCCATGCTGGCGGAGGTGGCGGAGCGAGGCGCTGGGGGCGGAGGGTGTGTCCTCTCAGCCCCGAGCCCGGCCGAGGAGCGCACCACGGCTTTTCAGCATTGGCCCGGCAGTCCCAGCTAGTGCAGTAAGAGAAGAAAAGAAAACGGAGTAATGGGTACGGATCCGGGAGAAAGCGAGTCTGTTCACACGCAGCACGGCTTTACGTGGAGAACCCCAGGGTGAGGGACGGACAGCGCCCGGGCTGCCGGATTCCCGCTGGCGCTCGCGCGGGCCGTGCCCGTGCACCGGCGGGGACACCGTGGAGCACACAGCGCGCTCTCGGCGCCCCCGGGAGGAAGAAGCCCCTGGGTACAAAACACGTACCCGGCGAGGAAAAGCCCCTCCTTGAGCGGGTGAGTGCTTAGATCGGGAGGGACTCGAGTTTTCAGCACGGGACAGTGACGCTGTGGCCAGGCTGTGACCCGCGGCCTGCGGGGGCACGCGGCGCCGGGCAGGAGGCTGCTTTACGGCCGACTCCCGCGGAGTTCCCGGCGCTGACCCGGGTGGCCCGGAGCCCCTGCCGCAGGCGGGCCAGCGGCCGGCGGTGCGCACCTCCTCCGGATTTCTGTGCCGGGACGTGTAGCTTTCTAAAATCGATGCCGATGTGTGGCTTGTCTGGCTGGAGGGGCCCGGCTGGGGCTGGGGACGAGCAGCGGGCCGGGGTGCGACCTGCGGCCTGTTCTTGGAAGATGAGCCCAGGGCAGGGGCTTCCAGAGATGTGCTCTTCGGGCGTGTCTCCTTTCATGGAGCTGAACGTGCATGACGAGCGCCCCGGGGAGAAGGCTCCTTCACGAGGAGCGTCGCGTGGGCGCCGGCGCTGTGCTCACGCGTGGGCGGGCGGGGCGGCGGGGCTCTGAGGACTTGGAGGCGGAGCGGCTGGGGCCCAGGCCAGGGACCAGCGGGCCGGCTGGCTCGGCTGCCCCTTCCGGCCTTGCCCGGAGTGCGGGTGCGGGGCACAGGCGGGAAAGATAGACTCTTAAACATTTCAAGAAGCGGCAGTGCGGCCCAGCACCGGCGTGGCGGGACCTGACGTGCTGCGGTCACGCTGACACGTGGACCACGGCGCCTACGGAAGTGCTGGCCGAGCAGAGCGCTGGCGTCAGGAAGCCGCCTTTCTCCAGAGAGGCGGCTTGTCGCCGCGTCAAGCGGGGAAATACGGAGTGAGTGGTGAACATCCGGGCGGAGCCACGCGGAGGTAGCTGGCAGGAAGCGCGCACGGGGGCCTCTGGCCTCCTCCTGCTGTCGGGACGAGGGAGGTCTGGCCGCCGGCCCGGCCCATCTGCAGGCACGGATGCTCGCGTGTCGGCTGCGATTGTGTGACACTGCAGTGGCGCCTCCTTTCTCACCCTTTGGTGCCTGCCACCCCCAGATCTGTGAGAAGTTAAGTGGAAACTGATTTTAATATAATGTCCTTAAAAAACCTCATGAATCATTGCTGTCCCGGTTGGCACGTGGGACGTTCCTGGGTAACTGTCCCTCCACATTGATTGCGATGCCTCTTGTGCGTACAAACATATTTCGGGTAACTGTGTGTTGACATAGCATTGCTTGATGCTACTGTGTAGGTTTCAGGCGGACGGCATTATAATTCAGCCTCTCTACAACATGGCGATCGCTCCCAGAATCCCAGTTTCCACCCAGTACTGTTCAGAAGCCCTTTATCCAGTTGCCAGCCTCCCCTGTCGCCCCACAACTCCGCAACCGCCATTTTGTTCTCATAATCTAAGAGTTCGTTTTTAGCTCATCTTCCACAGCTGAGTGAAATTACACGTGCTTGTTGTCTGCCTTATTTCACGAAGCGTAACACTCCCCAGATCCATACATGTCACAAACAGGAAGGCTTCGTCTTTTTCACAGCCGAGTAGTATTCATTGGCGTGTCTGGGTCGCATGGTCTTTATTCACTCATCTGTCCCGGGCACTTGAGTGTTTCCTGCTCTCAGTTATTCAGACCACCGCTGCCGCGCCACGGGCAGGGCGCCCGCCTCTGGATGTGCGTGTTCGTGTTCTCCAGGTAAATGCTCAGAGGGGGAGTAGCTGGGTCACGTGGTACTCCTGTCCTCGGCTTTTTTTCTTTTTTTTTTTTAATACAAGAACCGGAGTACAGGCCAGATGTGCAGGAGGGTGAGAGGATTCCCCAGAGACAGAGCGGGGAGCAGAACAGGCAGACGGACGAAATACACTGCTGAGGGGAGCAGCGGGCGAGACAGGAGAGGTCTGCCGTGCCATGTGGGGCCCTCGCCAGCCGGCTGGGATCGAACCAGCGCTGCAGAGGCTGCGGGCAGCTTCGCAACCCAGCGCTCAACCGCTGCGCCACCAGGGAGGCCCCCCGTCCTTGGCTTTTTAAGGAACTGAAAATGCAAAACCATAAGGCATGTGGGCCAGGACAGGCCGTGCAGCCTCGCCTCGGCAGGGCCTTGTGGGCCCGCCTGCGACAGTGGGGGCGCAGAGGCAAACCCAAGCAGCGGGACTCTGAGCTGGTGGGGGAGTCCCCCGAGCCAGGGCCGGGGGCAGTGACGCAGCCACGCGCGGGGAGGGGTGTCCAGGCAGTCAGAGAAGGACCGAGGCCGGACACGCTCACTCCACATACAGACAAGCTCCGAGTGGACGAGAGGTTTAGACACGGACCGACAGCGGCCGTGGGTGGAAACATGGACCACGCCTTTGTGACACCAGTGACGGCAGCCCTGGGGACTGGACACCGGCGCCGTGGGACAGAGGCAGGTTTACCTCAGGTCACAGAGTCCCCCCCGGCCTGGCGCCACACGGGAGAGTCACGGGTCGCCCTGTCTTCACGCTAAACTGAAAAGGGTTAATATCTAGGCTGTAGGGAAAAACTCACAAAATCCAACAATTAAAAAAATCCAAACCACCCAATCCATCAGTACGCGGGCAGCAGATCTGAACGGACCGTCCGCCAGGAGGAGGCCAGGCCAGTCGCTCCGCCATGGCTCCCGGGAGCGAGGAGAGAGAGCGCAGAGTCAGAGCCCCGGGAGGCTGACCCCCACCGGGAGGGCCGCGCGCCGTAGAGTCCCGCTGGAGGGTGCCGAGGGGGAGCCCCGGCCTGCTCCTTCGGGGGCGAGGCTAGAGCAGCGTGGGGGCCCCTGTCCGCGCCCGGCCCTGGCGGTGGAGACGCGGCGCTCGCAGCCCGTCAGCGCAGAGATGTCCGCGCCGGTGTTGACGGGCACCGGGCGCCCGTGGGCATCGACGGCGGGTCAAGGGCAAGAGGGGTCACGCTTGGGGCTGCCCGGCCTCGAGGAAGGACGGGCGCCAGCGGCGGTGGCGGGGGCAGTGCCGGGCGCCCGTCCGGTGGGCAGTTTGCCCAAGGGAAGGCCCGCAGAGCTCGCGGACGTTGGTAAGAAGCTGGTCAGGGCTTCTGAAGTCGGGGAGCGGCTGAGGGGTGGCGGTGGAAGAAACGTTTTAGAAAGGGGCCCGATCTAGACGGGCTTCCGTGTCTTCCTGGGCCCCGGTCGTTGGGTGTGTGTGCTTCAAGCTGCGCTGGACGTGCGGGCGTAAGGCTGAGGCGGCCTTGGGCTCAGCAGTACCTCCAGCGCCCCCAGAAGGCAACTGCGCGGAGGGGCTGTCACAGGCCCCGCGTCTGCCGGCTGGGGCCGGGCCGTGGCGCGAGTGGGCTCCGTGGGTGGGGGTGGGGGTGGGGGTCGTGCTGGTGCCTGGGATCGGCGCGGCTGGCTCCGCGTGGACGCGCTCCTGCACACGCTCCGGCCCACGGCTCTGTTTTCGTGCGGTGGAATTCATGTCGAATTGCGTGGCAGGTTCACTTTTTAGCAGAGGAGCCCTCCCTGCCCTCCAGCTACCAGAGGCGCGTCCTCTGTTGACCAGTGCGGCCATGTGACGGCACTCACGTCTGCTCTCTTTCAGATATGCTTCCTCCTGTTCGCTGTCCTCTACGTGGCTTCCTATTTCATCATCACGAGGTACAAGCGGAAATCAGGCAAGTGGGCGTGTGGGTGCGGGCCTGTGAGGGGGCTACGGTGCCCTCCAGGGAGCCTGCTGCTCTCGGGCCATCCCCCGCGCCGGCCTGTGCGGGGCGGTCAGCCTCGGGGAGCACCCAAGGGTGATTCCACGAGCGTGTTGGGTGCTTTGTGGCCCCGCCTCCCCCAGGCTCCCGGAATGTCCTCCTTGTGACACCCCCCAGGCTCCCGGAATGCCCTTTATTTCTCTGAGGCCACAAAGGGGTTAGAGGCTGCACCCTCCAAGTGGTGAGGCCCTCTCACGGTGGCACCCTGTCCGTGTCTTGCCAGAGGGAGCCCGTGTCTGCCCTCCTCTGAGGAGGGACGTGTGCCCATGGGCTCCCAGGCTTTTCTGGCAGTTTCTGCACTGCCGTCTGTGAAACGGCTGCTGCTTTCTAAAATCAGAGGCCTTCGGCCCAGTGGCGCTGGGCTGGGGGTGGGGACACCCGAATTGCATAGGGGTGACTCACCGAAGCCCCTCCACTCTCTCCCATTTCGCTGGCGGGCGATCAGTCGCCACGGGGACTGCCTTACTCTCGCGCACCGCTCGCTCGCTCCGCTGGCTCTGCCCTGCACTCAGGCACCCCTGGGCCTCCCAGCCTCTTGGGGTCTGAAGCCTTCACACCCGAGGCAGCACCTCGGCCTCGCGGTGGGTTTTAGGGTGTTCTGGCTTCGGGCGTCACCGCTCATGGGCGCAGCGCAGAGGCGGAATTGACGCTTGCGATGTATTGTATGAGGGGCAATTGGGGCCTGGTGGGAAGAACTGGACGTGGCATTTGATTCGGGGGTGGCGGTGAGGGCCCTTGTAGTGTGTGGGGAGTTGGACCCAAACGATGTGCTGACACTCGAGCGTTCCTTGGGGCCGGCGGCCATGGGCCATGGCCCGACAGCACAGGCAGTGCCCGTGCCTTGGTCTCTGTGCCCCCTGGTGCCCTCTAGCAGCCTGGAACTGGGACCGCGCGCGGGCCGGCCCTGGACCATGGCCCAGACACCCGCTGACGCCGAAGCCGGCTCCGCGCCCCAGAGGCCGGGAGCGAGCTGGAGCATAAGCCAGTCGGGCCTGAGGAGCGTGGTCGTGCCTCCTTGCGGCTGGGCCGCTGTGCCTTCAGGGACGAGCTGACGCAGGAGGACGGAGGAGACCGCTAGAGCCTCGCAAGGGGCCGGCCTCTCCCCTGACCCCGCTCCGGCCGCCCTGCGGGCTGCTCACGCATGCAGGCGCCACCCCCGGGCGCTGTGGCTGGTCTCGGAGTCCCCCCCTTGCCCCCGCGCCCACGCTGGACACGGCGGGCGCCGCCACTGAACCCTCGCTTCACAGTAGAAGCTGTCCCGCTGCTACCGCCTGGGAAATGTCGTTCAGTAGTGATTTCACTTACCTGGCGTCTCACGAGGCTTCGTGGTGGGCTCGGGGTCTGCCGGGGCTGCGGTGGGAGCGCGCACCGTGGGAAACTGTTCCGTGCATGTGGTGGCTTCGCTGCCAGGCGTTGCGGCCACTCGCGGCGCTGTCCGTTACCCTCCCTGCTCGGAGCTGGTGAGGGCGGCGTGGGGTTTGCGCTGGGGAAGTACACTGGCCTTGACGTTTATTTCTACTCAGTAATTGCCTCTTTCAGTTTTCGTTTTTGTTCACATTTTCTAACGCGTTGCGACCTTTGGTTGGAGAATACGTTAACGCCTTGAATGTCTTTGCAGATGAGCATGAAGATGAGGACGCCGTGGTCAACAGGATCTCGTACGTATCGTAAGGCGCCCTGGCTTGTTCTTCGTGTGGTGGATGCCCTCAGCTTCATGTTCACTTCTGGATAGAAACGTGGAAAATTGTACTTAAAGCGTGACAACACCTCTGTCCACATTCATTCGGTTCCTGAAAAGCACGAGTTGGCAGATACAGGGGGTCCCTGAGGAGTGAGTGTGTCCTATGAAAACTTTGCCTGTTTAAGGAGCTGGCAGGTTTCATCTGGAGATAATTTAACCTGGAAATGGCTGAGGTTTGGGCAAGTGGCTGGACCACAAAAGAGAAAACCGTCGGCTGTTTGGACGGTCTGCCGAGGTGACACGGGCCCGGGCAGGGAGCAGGCGTCTCTGGTCGCGTGGGAATGGGGGGCCCGCCCAGGCGGCTTCGGGAGCGGTGCTGTGGCATGCTGGTGACTTCGGGGCTGTGGCTTCGGGAGCCCGGGGGCTGTGCTATGGCGTGCTGGTGACGTGGGGAGACACAGCCCGCAGCTTCCTTGTGGATTCAAGCTGGATGCAGAGTAGTTACTCCTTCCGCCACGGCTGCGTGATAAAGCTCTGAAAGGCACAGGCCCCACATAGAGGGTCTGCTTGCGCCCAGGGTTTTACTGATGGCTTGAACGTTTTCGGGGGTAATCCCAAAGTTACAGCGAAGTTCTAACTGATGAAAGCGCTTCCTCTGCCGGAAGTGTTGGAGGGTGGCTGCTTGGCCCCCGCACAGGCAGGCTGGAGCAGACAGGCCCGGAGCCATGGCCCTGCTGCTGTGGTCTCACGCCTGGCGCCTCGCCTGACCTCCCGGCACGTCTGCCCTCTGCGTGGTCAGTGGCAGAGGCTGCATCTCCGGGGGCTGAGGGGCGGGGGTTGGGAGATGGTGTGAGCACCCCCGAATCTCGCACCTGCGTCCAGCCCCTGGCCCCAAAGGAAGGAGTGCTAACAGGCCTCCCTGTGGCCCCTTGGGGGTGTGACCCGGCAGGCGAGCCCTCCCGAGGGTTACGGGGGCCTCTTGGGGTGCTGAGCTCCTGCTGGACCTGGACGGTGCGCCGGGTACCTCGGGAGTGTGTCTGTGAAGCCGTAGTTCTCGTCAGCTTTACCTCCACAAGAACCGCTCCAGCGGTTGAGCGCTGGGCTGAGAGGCTGCCTGCAGCCTCTGCAGGGCCGGTTTGTTCCCTGGCCACTGGCGAGGGTCCCAAAAAAAAAAAAAAAAAAAAGAACCGCTCCAGCTTAGCTCGAGCAGGGCTGCTTCCTGCATCCCGGGGAGAGCCGGCCAGCCCGGCTTCCCCGGCCCACAGCCGCCCACGCCGGGGCACGCTCCTGCCCAGGGCTTGTGCCTGACCGCAGGTCCCTGACTTGACATAACGACACAGGATTGGGGCCTTGCTCTGTCCCGGCCCCAGGCTTCGGGGGCGTGGCTGGCCTCCACCTGGGAGGGGAGGGCAGGGAAGTTCGGTCTCCTACCTCAGAAAGCTGCGGTAGCCCCAGCTGTGTGAGGGCAGGTAGTTCTCTCTGTGGGCCCCGGTGTGGGGGCCTGTGAGCACGACACCTCTGCCTGTGCCCCACTTGGGCGCACCCCCACTTAGATGCCAATCAGCTGCGGCAACCTGGCAGCAGTCAGTCTCTCTGGCTCTCCCTTTTTAGGTGTCCTGGGCCTGCTCCTCAGCCCGCACCTGTCCAGGGGTGGCCTTTTCCAGAGGGGGTCTGTGTCCTGCTCCTGCTGAAGGGGGGTGTGGGCACGCACGTCAGTGGCGCCCAGGGGCCCCCATCTCATTATCTTCACCGCAGTTCCCCTTTCTGTGCCACCAGAGCCCAGCGGGGGCCGAGAGGGCCGGGTTTCTCCTGGTGAGCAGTGGCCAGCACAGCCCCTGGCCTGGGGCTGTGGACTAGGGTGGGCCGAGCAGAGGTGTGCGCTCAGGGTCAGGCCCGCCCCAGACGAAGGGAGCTGAGTGGACGCCTCTCCGTCTTCTGGGCCTTCGGACACGTGGTCAGTGGGGCGAGTCCACCCCTGCCGGCTGTGGTCAGTGCAGCCAGGCCTATTGGGCAGGCGGGCGCCCCAGACCCCTGGGGGCGGCAGAATCTGCAGGGCGGCTTTGGGCCTTTGTGCCCGTGGAGACTCCAGGCCCCGCGTATAGCCTGCCTCCCAGTCTCCTGGCCGCTCAGGCCAACCCCGCCAGGGCTGACTGGCCCCTGCCTCATCCTGCTAGAGCCCTTGGGTCTGGAGGTACATGGGCCCTGAGGCCCTTTTCTGTGGTGCGATGGCCACGTGACGATGGCCACCTCCGTGGGCCTTTCCTTTGGGCTGCCGGCATTTCACTGCTGCCTCCCCTGTCGCAGAGGCCGGGGCGGTCAGGAGGGGGTGGGGCCCACCTATGCCTCTGGGGCCACAGGTACCGGTGGGTGGTGCTGCAGCCATGGGCCACCTCGGCAGGATCTTGGGGGTCACTGATGGCTTTCAGCTCTGCCTGTTCTCATTAGCATCTGCCTCCGAAAGCCGCAGGTCCAGTGTGTGACTTGGAGCCCCTGAGAGTATGAGGAGGGATTGGGGAGGGTGGTGCAGGCCCCGGAGGGTGGGTCGCTGGGGGTGTTCCAGGGTGCGCTGGCTGCGCAGGCCTGTAAAGGGGCACCCCGAGACCACCACGCAGGGCAAGGAGCTGGCATGGGGCACGCTGTGGCCATGGGTGGGGCCAGTGCGGGCAGGCGAGACCACACTCAGCCGCCAGAGTGTGACCCTCAGGCCATTCCGGGTTCCCACCGGCGCTGGGGGGCCTGGAGCAGCTGGGCACTAGTGCCCCGGACTGCTGCCCCTGAGCTGTCCACTTGACAAGATTCGCATCCAGGATTTTGTGGGACCTCCTGACGCACTGGGCGTCCGCAGGCGGTGAGTGAGCAGGCCCGGCTGTTTCCGGCTCCTCGGGGGAGCCCTTGCGGTGCTAGGTGGGCCCCCCTCAGAGCTGCAGGCAGGGGTGACTTCCGAGCACTGAGCCCAACGGCCCACTTTTTGTTCCGCCTCCTCGCCTCTGCTTCCGTATTCTTTCCTTCTGAACTTCCATGGCGGGCATCCAGGCTCCAGCCCTAGTGGGACGTGGGTTCCCTTTTGCCATTTGACTCTTTTAAAAATGTTTTTTAAACCTGGTCTAACTCTGCAGACACTTGTGAGCCGAGAGGCGAAGGCCCCGCTCCTGCCTCTGCTCTGCCTGCGCGGCGCCAGGAGAGCTGTGGGCCTCTGCTGAGCCCTCCCTGGCTCCGCGCGGGCGCGGCGATGCTGGTGTCCCGGGCCGCGGAGGCCGTCCTGCGGTCCCCGCTGTTACGAGTGTGATGCATTTAACCTCTGCCCGTTTCACGGGGCGCGTCGATGGCTTTGCGAGTCTTCTCCCTGAAATAGCCATTTTAAATTAATTCATTTCCGCGCTCCCTTCACAAGTATTTTTTCACCTGAAACAGTTGTTGCGTTGCTTTTAGCATCTACTGCCAAGTCGCTAATTAAATGCAATTGTGAGATAAATACTGATGTTTAATCGAGGAGCGGGACGCCTGCCTGTTCCAGGGCACGCTCGCCGGGGGCCCAGAGCGGGTCCTCCGGGGTGCCCAGCCCCCCACCCAGCCCCCCCTCCCGGCTCCCACTCGCGCAGCCTGACGCCTCTCTCCGCAGGCTGTTCCTGAGCACCTTCACGCTGGCCGTGTCGGCGGGGGCCGTGCTGCTGCTGCCGCTGTCCATCGTCAGCAACGAGGTCCTGCTCTCCTTCCCCCAGAGCTACTACATCCAGTGGCTGAACGGCTCGCTGATCCACGGTCAGTGTGTGTGTGTGGGGGGCTCAGGGGACTCCCGGGGGCTGGTTTATGACAGGCAGCCTGTAGACAGCCTTAAAAACCTGCATTCCAGTCTCGGGTCAACCCAAGATTGGGACATTTGGGTCTTGGGTCGTTTTCTCGAATTTTTTGTGAGGTGGGACATCTTAATTTTAAAATTTGTAAAATCTATTAAAAAGACTTAGTGTATCTTCTTAATATGTTTTCTTGTCCGTTGCTATTGAATTACGTCTTCCGTGTGTGTGACACACCAGCTTAGTCTGAGTTCTGTGGGTATGGTTTTCCACTTGTTATTTGGCATTTTGATTTTGGGAATGGACACGCTGCCAGTCTTTGTCGTTATTTGGTTTTTCTTTCGTTGCTTTTGTGCCTGGAAGATCCTTTCCACCCCCGAGGGCTGGCATACGTTCTCCTTCTGTTTTAACAAAGGGGTTTGTTTACCTGCTTCATTCACCTAGAGTTTGTGTCTCACTAGATCACTGCTTCTCCCGGCCTCCGTGTCTGGAGAAATGCTATTTGCTGGAGACAATTCGGAAACAAAGTGGCTTGTTCACCCTCCAGCCGCACCCCTGGGAGCCCCGGGGGCACAGGCTGGGGGCCCTGGGGAGCCTGGTGTCCCGGGAATGGGGAACGGGCCTTTGCCCGGCTCGCTCTTCCCCCTGTCCTGCCGCCACGGCCTCGCCCAGGCTCCGCACTGAAAAAGCGACAAGGTACATCCTTATAAATAAACATGCGTCCTCGGATGCTCTGCAGCTCCCTTTCCAGGCCGGCCTGTGTTAAAGGGCTGGGGAGATGCTTCCCACCGGGCCTGTGTGCCTCTCCCGGCAGCGGCGGGCCTCTGCGCCCAGGAGCCTCCTCGCAGTCACGCTCCCAGGGACGAGCTCGCTCTCCCCGCAGAGCCCCCTTTGCCCAGGTGGTCACAGGTCTCTCTGAGGCGGCGTTGGGGCGCCCCCCTCTGCCGTGTTTGGGTGTCCTGTCTTCTGTGACTGGCTGCCGGCCGGGCAATTTGCACGCGGCCCCCTAGCTGCCCTTTACCCCGCTCGCTCAGGCCGTTTCTCGACATGTAGAATCTTACTAGCCAGCATCAGGCACGCATTTTCTTCCGGCCTTTGTGGTTTCTGCTGTGCCTGAGACTGGACACAGTGGGGGCTTTGATGCCCTGACGGCCAGCAAGACCTTGTGGGTCAGACAACTAGCGAGTGAATGAAAAGAAATAACTTTTTTTTTTTTATATACACAATTTTTTTTTTAAAAGATTTATTTATTTATGTATACAAGCACTGGGTACAGTCCGAAGCGTGGGAGGGTGAGAGAATTCACCAGAGCCAGAGCGGGGAGCAGAGCAGGCAGAAGGACCGAAGGACACTGCTGAGGGGAGCAGCGGGTGGCAGGAGAGGTCCGCGCGCCATGTGGGACCCTCCTCCAGTGGCCGGGGAGCAGCCGGGGATCGAACCGGCGCTGCAGAGGCTGCGGGCAGCTTCGCAACCCAGCGCTCAACCGCTGGGCCACAGGGGAGGTCCTGAAAAGAAATAATTTTTTGCTGCTTGGCCAGTGAGACAGTCAAGTAAGCAAACTAAGGTCTTTTTTTCTTTTTTAAGATTTATTTATTGATGCATACAAGAACTGGGGCGCAGGCTAGAGGTGCGGGGGTGGTGAGAGGACTCACCAGAGACAGAGTGGGGTGCAGACCAGGTGGATTGACTGAAACACACTGCTGAGGGGAGCAGCAGAAAGACAGGAGAGGTCTGCTGTGCCCTGTGGGGCAACTCCCTGGCTGGGCATGGAATTCAGGCTGCAATGGCTGCCGACAGCTTCATAGTGCAGAGACTTAACCCCTGCGCCAGCAGGGAGGCCCCCCAAACTAATGTTAACACGCAGATATAATTGGCTACTGAAGAGTCACCTGTTGCCACGAGACCGGAAGCTGGAAAGTGAGGCCATGCTCCCCCTGTTCCTTGTCACTGTGAGGTGAGGTGATTGTTTGTTCTTAACCAGTAGGTGGATGCAGGCAATGGCCAAGATGGCTTTTGCTGCATTGCCAGATGTTGGGAGGAGACGGCGCTGCCAGGTTCCCTCAGGCCCTGGCTTTCTGCGAGGCTGTGGTGCTGCAGCGAGGGGCCTGGGTGCTGGCGTCCTCACTGGCAGTGTGGGCTCCCGGGCAGGCCGGGTGGCAGGTGGCTGGCCTGGGCTGCTGTGTGGCCAGATGCTGCTTGTTGCCTTGGTGACGCCAGGCCAGGCCATCTCTTTCTCTGTTTGTGGCCCGTGGCATGCTGGGCGTGGGCGGCAGAGGCCGTGACCTCGAGGTAAACACCTGCTTGTTGGGGTCTTTTTGGCTGTAGCGTGAGGTGTGCAGGCCCAGGCGTTAGTGAGCCAGGTGTGCAGAGCATGCCGGGTCAGCCGTGTGAGCGTGTAGACAAGCCACGCCGTGGGTGGTGACGCGGGTGCGTGAGCCACCCCTGCCGGAGCTGGGAGCCTGCTCCGTGTGTCCTCAGGGGTCTGGCCAGCCCCGGGGCTCCATCGGCCTGGTGGTCTCTCCGGGGCCTTGTCTCTCCTCGAGCCCCTTGCCAGCTCTGTCCTTCACGGCCTGTAGCACTTTTCGAGCGTCACGGCCCCCTCTCTCCTGTGTGTGGCGCTTTACCCTACGGGCGACTTCGGGCGAGCTCCCCTAGGTCCTTGACGTCCTGGCCTGAGGAAGGCTCACTTCTTGGCTTTTTAACCTATCGCCGTGGCTGGGCCGGCCACAGTCCGGGCAGCGCAGGAGAGCGGACGCCTGGTCCCCCCTGAGTCCAAAGGCTACAGGGGACTCAGCTTGGAGACAGGTGGGCAGGCGGGCAAGGGCTCCAGTTTGGGGGCTGCCCATCCGCCCCGCCTGCTGGCTCGGCTCTGAGTCTCGTCTGCGGCACCTCCAGCAGAGGTGGGGACGTGTGGCCAAGTGTCCAGGGCCCTAGCTGTGTCAGGTGGACAAGTGGAGCTGGCCTTCGTGAGCCCAACCTGTCAGCTTGGCACCTTGTCTCCTGGCCGAGGGTGTGTGGCCCTCACTCTGGCCTGCAGCGGCTGCCTTTGGCCTTACCTGATACCGCAGGACAGGACCCGCCTCCTGGGAGTGCCTGGAGCTGCCCCGGGAGCCACGCCTTTTCCCTGGGCTGGTCCCCCTCGCTGTTCCTTAGCGGCCAAGGGCCCGTGCACTCCCGGAGGAGGTGGTCTCCGTGGAGTCGTGCTCCAGGATAACAGAGCGGAAGGCCACGGAGCAGGGGGCAGCGTCTCGCTGATGGTCACTGGGCTGTTGAGGGTGCCACTTCCACCTGTACCTCTTGGTCCCGGTCGGGGAGCCCTGACTGCGGGGAAGACGCCAACTTGGAGGTAACCCCTGGTGTGCAGCCCGTGTGGGCGCTGCGGTGGGGAGGCTTTCTGCAGGTCACGAGTATGGACTCCGGGGAGCTCCGGAAGTGGCTTGGCTGAGGGTCAGCTCTCCCCGCCCATGGTGGCCACCTCGGCATGGGCCGGCGCTTGGTGGCCACGCTCAGCGCGGTTTGCAGCAGTCCGGAAGGAAGCGGGTCACTGCGTGGAGGGCAGGGCTGAGACTCGCCCAGCGGGCCCTGCCACAGAACAGGTGCCTCCCAGGGCGCCCTCCGGACGACCCAGGTCCATGGCGCCGCAGGGCTCGCAGGCCGAGCAGACCTCGGTGGCTAGACTGTCCAGAACCCCTCCGTCGGGCCGCAGGGCCAGCAGCCAGTGCCATGGGCTGGGATGAGAGGTGCGCTGCCGCCCGCGGTATGGTGTGGGGTGGGCAGCGCATCCTTCACTTTAGAGGGGCTTTGATACCCTGCACTCTGCGCTCCTGGAAAGTGCCCTGAGGTACAAGGCCGCTGAGTTTTCGAGGGGCCTGTTTCCCGCCCTCTGCCGTGCAGCGCCTTGCCTGAGGCGCGCTGGCCGCTGCCCGGCTCCTCTGCCGGCTGGAGGGCGGGCTGGCCCGGCCCGCGCAAGGTGCACACTGTCTGGCGCTCAGGGCGGGCGGAGAGGCAGGCCCAGCGCGGGGAGGGCGGCGGGGGCGGAGTCACTCCATGGGGCGCACCGGCCCTCCCCGTCCTCTCCAGGCCCAGCGTCTCCCGTGGGCTGGGGTCACGTCCTCCCCGACACCCTCGTGGTGGAGACGGTGTCCGCGGGGTGTGCATGGGATGTGGAAGAGGTTGAAAGAAGGGTCTCCCTCTGGGGGCAGCACCCCGGGCCCCGCGTCCCCTCGTGTGCGTGCGGGCAGGCGCTTCCCGGTGCCCAGGGCGCTCCGCGGGCCCTGCGGGTGGCAATTGCACAGCTCTCTGCTGGCGCCGTCCCGAGCAGATAAGCGCGCCTATTCTAGCTCTGGGACTTTGTAGGACTGGCTCTTCAAAAGCAACTTGGAGATTTTTCTCTAAGGCTTATGGTTTCTTGAAATTTTTTGACGTGAGTCATTTTTTGGCCATTGGAGTCACTCCTCAGTTCCACTACAATGTCGGTTTTGACTCAGTTTGTCATGGTAGGGAGTCTTGCCGGGATCCGAGTCCCTTTCTAATGTGCATTCGTGACCTTTTTTTGTCTGTGGTAACACTGCCTGTTGTGGTTTGAAATACTTTGAGGCTCCAGCAGATGGAGCTAGAAGTTAACACATCCGCGGCGGCGCTTCAGGCCGCGGCCGCCTCTGGCTTTGCTCAGTGTCCCAGCCGGGGAGTCGCTCTCTCCCCCCGCCCGGGCTGTGGGGAAGGCACAGCTGCCTCGGCGGCGGGGGCAGGCTTCGGGGCTCGGCCCTCGTCGTCCGCGTGCGGACGCGGCCATGGGTAACAAGGCAGGCCGTGGTTGCACGTCCGAGGCCTGGTTTTGAGTTTAGGAGAGCTTTCGTCAAAGCTGCAGGGCATTGGGAAGGTGCTGGTACGTGCATCTGCTGTTCGCTCGGGAGGCGCTGGAAGCTCACTGCTTGGCCGCGCTGCTGTGGCGAGTAACATAATCAGTGC